AAGTTTTATTAATTAAAGGCTTTTTTTTTTTGTCAAAATTAATGAAAGGCTTAAAAAGTAGCTTTTTTTAACTTCTTTTTGCAGTGAAGAATAGAAATTTTTGGGTGAAATAGTTGTAAGTTTTTCCTTGTTTGCAAGGTTAACACTAAAAACCACAAATTTTAGTTTCACAACCAACAAAAGAAATCTCCTTCATAGTAACTTTTTAGGACAGAATGTAGAACCAAGCACTTCATTACAAGCAGCTAACAAACGGTGCTATTATCTCTCATGAGAAAGCAATAAGAAAGTAGTAGGCCATTCTTGTGTTTCTTCTCTAGCCCTTAGGACTCTGTTCAGAATTTGTACTAGACAAGGAAATGCAGGCAATCCTATAACTGAAATATAGAATTGTGAGTTGTGTTGAAGAGATTCAGAGTCGTCTCTTATTATCCTGAATGAACAATAAGATTTTTGAAGCTGGTGGTAGTTAAACAACTTTGCTTGGTCTCTCTTCAATCAATTATTTGAATTTTATAAGGACAAAGGTTTCATGTTAATCACGGATTTTGAATCAATCACTGATGATTAAAAGAATCCTCCAACATGGCTGGAACACTTTCCCTTCTCTTGAAATCTTAACTACTCTCTACTATTTATACTTCATATTCTTATTTTCCAAGTTCATTTTCCCACCGCTCATAGCTGCTTTTATTTTTTTTTTCGCCCTTCTTTTTAGCTCCTCTGAGGAGGACAAGCAGTCTGGAAATGTGTTGATCCTTGGGTCACGAGTTGTAGATCGGGGTAATGATGACAGAGAGGTGGATGAGAGGCTAGCTGCCCTTTTCCCTTGCAACATTGAGATCAGGCCACCAGAAGATGAAAAACATCTTGTCAGCTGGAAATCTCAACTGGAAAAGGACATGAAGATGATCCAAGCTCATGATAATAGAAATCACATCATGGAGGTGCTTTCAGCAAACAATCTTGATTGTGATGATCTAGATTCAATCTGTGTGGCAGACACAATGGCCCTCAGTAAATACATAGAGGAGGTTGTGGTATCAGCAATTTCTTATCAATTGATGAATAATAAGGATCATGAATACAGAAATGGAAAACTCGGGATATCATCAAAAAGGTCAGATTAGTTTTTCTAGCATGGTTGATGTACCATTAACATTACATTTTCTGATTAGATCACATTGATGCAGTTTGTCACATGGATTAAGTATATTCCAGGAAGGAAAGTCCATTGGCAAAGACACATTAAAACTGGAAGCACAAACTGAAACACCAAAGGTCTTCACGCTAACTATTTGTTTTTTAACATTAGACAGAAGGAATTAAATGGTAGATTACTAAGCCTACCTTCCCATTTTGTTCTCTAAGTATTTTAGGAAGCAGGAGCGGTTTCTGTAGGTATGTAGCCAGAATTCAAATCCGAAAGCGCAAATCCTGAAAAGAAGAGTGAAACAGAGACGACAGTTTTGGCAACAAAGACTGAGGGTGAAATTTCTGCCCAAGCCTCGAAAGTTCCTGTGAGTTTTTTGTCTTTTTTTAGGTACATTTTATGGATGATATTGTTTGAATAAATGCACCTCAAAATTGCAACTATTTTGAATAATTTAACCAATCACCAAATTTACTCCTTTCAGGAGTAAGGAATTGTGAAAATAATTTTGTAGTAGTTCCACTTCACAAAATTTTTAGGTAACCAGTTCCTTCAATATCCGGTTTTTTCATCCTTTATATCACTTTGTACTTGTTGTACTTGTGGCAGGAAGTTCCTCCGGACATGAATTTGAAAAGCATATAAGGCCAGGGGTCATACCAGCAAATGAGATCAATGTAACATTTGCTCACATTGGTGCCTTAGATGAGACCAAAGAATCCCTGCAGGAGCTAGTAATGCTTCCTCTGAGAAGGCCAGACCTTTTTAAAGGTGGACTTCTAAAGCCTTGCGGGGGAATATTGTTGTTTGCTCCTCCTGGCACTGGGAAGACAATGCTGGCCAAGGCCATTGCCAGAGAGGCTGGAGCAAGCTTCATTAATGTATCCATGTCTACCATTACTTCTAAATCGTTTGGTGAAGATGAGAAAAATGTCCGAGCTGTGTTCACATTGGCAGCCAAGTTCTCTCATATTTGTTGATGAGGTTGATAGTATGCTTGGTCAGAGGACTAGAGTTGGAGAGCATGAAGCCATGCGGAAAATAACAATCAGTTTATGACTCACTGGGATGGGCTCTTGACAAAGCCTGGTGAACGTATCCTTGTTCTTGCTGCGACCAAAAGGCCATTTGACCTTGATGAAGCAATCATTAGGCGTCTTGAGCGAAGGTACTTATGCTTACTGATAATTTTAAATTACAGAACTGTCTTACATCTTGGCAGAAGCAAAGGTTCTACTTGCATTTCTACCATTTTTTTTGCATCACAAAAGGTGAAATTCTAATTAAAAAAATTTCAATTTGAAGCTCCATTCTGTACTCAATCTGTAGCCTATTGCTCTCATTAAGTAGTTGAGTAGTTTAGTATGCAGAGAACGTAATTTGTTCAAGAATTGATACAGTTCAAAGCTTATACATCTCTTAAATGATCATATGAACACTTTATAATTTCCTAAATTGTGTAAATTGCTACTGGAGAATTGGCGCCAATGAAATTAATTGAATCATTGAATTCTTTCAAGGAATCATGTTTGTTATAGTAACCGTACTCATTTTAACAGAATCATGGTGGGGTTTCCAGCTGCAGAGAACCGGGAAAAGATTTTTAGAACTCTTTTGGCAAAAGAAAAAGTAGAAGAAGGCCTAGACTTCACCGAGCTTTCATCGATGACAGAAGGATATACTGGAAGTAACCTAAAGGTTTGCATTTTGATAAGATGTTATCATTTAGATTAGTGATTAAAGTATAATCAATGTCATTTCCTGTTTAAAAACAGAACTTATGCACAACAGCTGCTTATCGGCCAGTTAGAGAGTTAATACAGCAAGAGAGATTGAAAGATCTGGTGAGTTCATTACTTCCTTTAAGTCCTTGACATCCACCTGTTTTTGTTTTAAACAAAGAAAATTATTTTTCTTGATTTATTTTCAAGCAAATGCCTGGAATAAACTATAGCCTTTGCAGGAGGGAAAGCAGAGAGCTGATGAAGAGCAGAACACAGAAGATGCCTCAACTAAAAAAGATGCTGCAGAGGAAAGAGTCATTACCCTAAGGCTATTAAATATGGAAGATTTTAGGCAAGCAAAGAATCAGGTAACTCCATTGTTAGGGCAGTTGATGGTAAAAAAATATAATGGTCTTTTCCTCTCTCAAAACCACGATCAAAAATATCTTTATCATTTGTGTCGATATGATATGTTAGATCAATATGACATGATCAATACTATTTCAATTTGGTTTTATCTTAATTGTCTTTTTATAGTCTCTTTAATTTATTTATAAATATAAAGATTCATACATCAAGGCAAATTCATCTCAATCACTCTCTCTTTTCATATTTTTTTATTTTTTTGTCGGTTTAATCTTTATTGATTTGTGTGTCAAAATGTAAATGTAAAAAACACTCATTATCTTTATCTTTAATCTTCTTTTTCTTTTTTACATTTATAAAAATACACTCAGGTCAAGCTTGACGCCAACGTCCATAATCAAATGATTCAATAGCATGTTACAATTCATTGATTGTTTTCTTATTTGTTTCTCACATAAATTATTTATGTTCCATTTGCCCGCTGGGCAGGTGACAGCTATCTTTTCTTCGGAGGGAGCTGGAAAGAACGAGTTAAAAATGGAGAAGGGGGTTCAAGAAAGAAAGAACAGTTATCATACTTCCTATGATTACGGTTACAAGCACCATGAGAAGTATTTTATAATGACTCAAATCATCCTTCATAAAAGTGGGTGAAAATTCCGATCAATGAATAAATAAGATGCCAAATGGGACCTGAAAATCCGTCCCTCTTGGTAGCTAAGTCCTGTTGTGAAGCAGATAAAAGTTGCAATATCATTTTCACCATAGTTTGGGTTGTGGTCTACAAGTATAATGCTTCAGATACAGCTTGTTTTACTTTATTCTTGGAGTAGGGTGTTAAAAGCCAGCAGTCTGCGCAATTTCCAACCAAATTGCGAGCGTGAAACAACCCCATGCTTAAGTAGATCGTGTTGAAACAATGCTATTTGCTAGTTGGTATAATTGCAGCTCTTGTAGAGATAGAGCTTTTACACATCCACAGGGAAGTTCCCATGACATCCACGGGCATCCTCAAGAACTATAAATGCACTCTTAATTATATGAAATATAACGCAACTAGATCTGTTTTAGAGCCGGCTATTAGTCCAAGTTCGGCATGGCAAAATTTTAAGAGAGTTTGAACAAAAAAATTAGGTCCCTTAAACAAATTTGAACATAATTTTTAAATTTATTTAAATTTTAAATTAAATTTTTGACAAAATATTTAAGGTCTAAGCCCAATCCAAATTTACATATATATATATAAAATTTTAATTTTTATATATATGTAAAATATATAAAAATTAATTTTTATATATATATAAATTAAAACAAAATTTTTTTTTATATTTTATTACACCTATTTTTTACTTTTATGTAATTTTTATTTTATATATATATATATAATTTTTGTTTTTAATTTTTATATTGTATGAATTAAATATAACCTCATTAAATTTAATTTAATCAATTTTTTTTAATTTTTATTATATAAATTAAATTTAATAGCTAAACTTAAATTTTTTTTAATTTAAACCAAGTTTAAAAATACTTTTAGATTTGAAATTTCAAAATCTCATCGGACTTTTTGAACCGAGTTTAATAAAATCTTTAAATCTGAAATTTCAAAATCCCATCAAGCCGAACCTGGCTCTTGAACACCTCAACGGCAACAAATTAGTTTACTTCAGTTTTATCAACATTATAGGATCTCGTTTGATTTCATTTATACACAGGCTGGCATTAACATCTATCCGTAGGCTGGAATTATGCGCAATTGTCTACGCAGACATGTAACAGCAATTTAAACGATTATGATTGGAGGTCAATCAGTCCAAAAACACAGAGCAAAGTGACCATTCCGAAAGGAATCCAGAACAATTTTGGAGAACTTTCAACCCAATGTACAATGCACTAATCAACATGCAATATGATAACATATTGTCACATAGCTTATAGATCCATGGAAAGGCTACCACGTGTGTAGCAAAAACAAGATTTAAAAAAAAATCCCATATTCATCAACATTGAGAACCCAGAAACTACGAAAATAAAGGATGACAGCCGGGTTCTAGCTTATACTGGATAAAATTTAACACCACCTTCACAAAACGCAGCTACCAGATGTATGTCAGAACCTAGCAACACCAACATCTTGGTCGGTGAATCTAATCCTTCTTCTTTTCCTTTAATGGTCCCCATGGAATCTTATTTAGAACTTTAGCATCAAACACCGCATATTGCTTCTTAATCTCATGCATTGCTTTCTCAGCAAATGGGTCCACCTTGTCCTCGTATTTCTCATACAGCACAGGTACGGTATGAAGTAGTACAAAGACTGTTTTGCAAAATCATTGAAATAAAATCAGGAAACCAAAATGTTTGTAACGGTTAAAAAAACAATGCGCTTGAAGGCAACTCCAATACCTATGTAGAACAATGTCAAGAAGTTGCACCAACTTCCCACAATAGACAAGACCCACAAGCCAGCAATCACCTGAACAATCATAATGCCATTCCAATATCATTATCAAATGCAAAATAACATAATTCAAAATCTTCATATCAATAAAATGATCTGGACATAGGAAACCATGTAACCATTGCTTCGCTATCTTAATTGCAAGTTGGATGAATAATTGCATATTACCAACCAGAAAAGAAAGCAATTCAGTACAAGAAAACAAGTAATCAACATACAGAGAGGAACTTCTTAAGATCTCTTCCTGATGCAATATCCCGCAGGACAGAAAAAGCCCAGTTAATCTCAAAACTAAGTGCTTGGGCAAATTCTACAACTGGTTCCTTAGGGATTTGAACTTCGGGAATGCGAGGTGGAGACCTACTCAAAACAATTTATGTTAACATGAGCAAAAAGAAACCTGAATCCAAATATAACCCCAAAGGCAGACAACAAATTCAACAACTTACTTGTTGATGAAGGTAGTAGCATTTGACCACAAGAAGAGTATTGCAAGAGCAAGTATTAACAAGTGACACACTAAAGTGAGAAGGTGGTACTCAAGCAACTCAAATAAAACCCATATCACAGTAGCAACACCAAGAGCTCCGGCCGAAATCTTTTTGTTCCTCCACAGGAGAATGTCAGCCGCTATTACACACCCAATTTCATTACATAAGTATGCATCATAAAAAGAATTCCAGTCAAGAGGTAATAATTACTGATGATAATCAATTGGAATATCAAATTATTATCGTCAGGGAAGTTATTGATAATCAATACTACAACGTTTTGAAACTTTTAATACAATAATATAATCCCAGAATTTGTTCGCTCCCATAAAGCAAAAAAGTAATCTCTCCTAGAACCAATCGCATCCATTCGGTTAAAGATCTAGAATCCGAAACTTCTTTTTCATCCCAAAACAAATATCAACAGATCAAAAACCATAATTCAGCTCAACCAACATCAATTAATCAAAATCGAATGCTCGATCTAAATCACTGAGCCAGATCTAACTCTTCAATGACCACCAATCAAATAATAAAAATGGGAATTTAACTCTGATTCATAAAGAAAATCAAAAATTAAGAAAAAAAACCCAGACTTCTAGAAAACTTAAAAATGGAGTGAACAAATTTAAGAAAAGAAGAAAAGGGTTTTTGCAACATACGTTTGCCTCCACCGAAAACGTGGTGGACGGGCCTTTCTCTCCCAAAGAGACGGAAGACCTTGGCCTTGATCGACGATTCTGATGGCTTATCGTCTTCAGAATCCGACGATGACGACGATGAATCATGGCCGTGGATCTTCTCCGTTATCTTCTCCATCAACGATTCCTCGTGCTTCTCCTCATGTTCAGCCATTTTTTTCACCCAATTTCTAAAACCCTAACTACTCGTTTCGAAAAGCTTTGTAGATTGAAAGAACAAAAAAAAAACACACACACACACAAGAGTTGTGAAAATTTCGAGAGTGTTCTATATTCCAAGCTCGAATCTTTTTTGTGGCTAAATAGAGTGTGAACACGTTTATTTAATCTGGACCGCTTGATGGCAATATTTTGATCTGGACCGTTGATAGGTTTGGAAATCCGAACCTATAGGCTTGGAAAAAACCAGTACCCGAAGTGGAAAAAGATAAATAAATGGGGGAGTACGTTTTTTATAGGTTCGAGGATTAACTGTCGTCCGATTTTGACGGCGGTGTTTCCGAACAATACAACTGGACGAATATTACGACACGTGGAGTTCCTGAGCCTTGCGATAGAGGCATTGATTGGTAAATAAGTGTACTTGCATTACATGGGTGCATGTGAGGAAGGGCAAAGTACTGAATCTAAAGCTAATTCCAGCAATTCGAATAATTAATTTTAAAACATTATATTTAATAATTTTAAATTAATATATTTTAATATTTTATTGTACCTATGTAAAAAATCCTAAATTATTAAGCAAAAGGTAAGTAAATTTATGACTTTTAAATTCAATTATATTTAATTGAAGGACATATAATTAATAGGTTGGTTTATATTTGTGGTCAATAATAAAGATAACTTAAAAAACGGATTCTTTTAAAAAATAATTAATTGATTTGTATAATATTTTCCATGTATCTTCTAGATTTGGAAAAATAATACAAAATCTAGATGCTTCCAGCAACGATTCTTAATTAATTGACTTCTACGTTGTTGTTAGAACATCATTTGAGGGATACCAATAACATGTACTTGTAAACGTTCCAAATTCATCCACTATACGGAGTTGTGGACATCCATGTTCATGATGAGAACCAAACTTCCAAAATATGCCAAAGGACACCCAAAAATGAAAAGAGAAAGAGTAAGAATCTATGCTTTTAGTAGTGATGTTAATGTGTTTGAACCAGGAGAAAATCTGGTGAAATCTGTCGCTTATTTTGTACATAGAGCAATTTAGCCGGTTGTCCTTAGGCCATCATCTATCATCTAATAGCCGTAAGTGGGAGTTTCCTCATGGGGCCAGATGAGGAAGTATCTTTTCTCCAAACGAAAGCTAACAAAAATGTGAAGGGAAGACAAAGATGTGGCTATAAAAAAAAAAAAAAAACTCCAAAAGTTGAATAACAGCAAAATGTTACTATCAAAACCCGATTGCAATGTTTGAAATTTAAATTGAAAAAAATGATTTAGGATTGGGAGATTGTTAGTCATCTTTGACATGATGTTGATGACCCTACATCCAGCTTCTATGTGACAAACATTCATAAAAAGTGAACACAATTCAAGCTTTTATAACAAATCTGATCTATACACCTTCAAAAAGCAAATGATTCAGAAAATTGTGGGGTCAGGAGACAAATGCAAGCAAAGCTGATAAATTTCTGCACCCATCTGTACCTGGACAGAGTATGCCCTGATATTGCTTCAACCCAAATTTTTCATTTTTCGTAATGATTGGGTGGAGAGAAACTAAAATGTGTAATTTGGGATATTCATCCAAGGAGCATGCAGGCATCTCATTAGCAAATAATCGTTAACATGATGATGATGATGTCCAAGTAAAATGTGGGTTTCCCATCACTTTAAAGTCATTAGCTATTATGTAGGCTAAGTTTAACTTCAAATGTTGGACATCTATAAAGCAAATAAGTTAGTCGTTGTCTTGCCATATATGAAACTAAATACAGCCACCCTACCTTCAAGACCAAGCAAGACTAGATCAGCAAGTAGGATTTCAGCTTCAGTGATCACTCCAAATTCTCATATTCCCCATTGCCATAATAATAACCTTGTGATAGTCAACAAAATATTTTTACTCTCTCCACCATCTGTATATCTACTACTTTCACTTTCCTAAAACAAAGTGCTTTGAAACAGACTGACCATTTTTTTTGAAGTGTTGGTGGCTAGTAGACTATATTTTATCAGTACTTAGAGAGTCAACAGATGTGAGAACTAAACAGCATATCTCTCACCAACTAGCATGATCATAAATTAGTTAACCAATTAAGGGAACTTTTGTCATGGATTAACCTTAAGGACCATCCTTTGGTCATAGACTGCACCACTTCACGGCTTGTTATGAATACCAATCTAGGTTTAACCACCAAGATTGTGTTCAAATCTTTTGACAGATAAGTCATCAATTGCAACGCTCCAATTTCATGTCAAGATATTTTAAAGATCTATTATGATAAATATATATATATATATAAATCTTAAATTCAAATTTATGAGGTGATTTTTTTAGATAAAATTGTGAGGCTTTGAGTTCAAAACAGATAATATATCGTAAATTAAGTGCGAGTCTCCACAAATAGTATCAAAACGTTCACTAGTCGAATTGGAGTTAAGTGTTACAACATGTAAGTCACCTTTAAAATCTTAACCTTTAATGTGAACTTGTAAACTGTGTGTACTTTGTGTTAGGCTTATTTAAATTTGGTGTGATTTGATAAATCTATAGGTTTTGTGTTGGATTTAATGGGGATGTCAAATTTTAACAAGAGGAGTTTGTAACGTCTTAATTCACATCAAGATACTTTGAGGATTTATTATGATATACATGTAGAGATTTAAACCCAAACTTAAAAATTTTTTTCATATAATAAAATCGTAAAATCTTTAAGTTAAAGCAGACAATATCATTGAATGCGGTTTCCACATCAATATATAGCAAATTTTACTAATCAAGGTGAATAAAACCTTGCATATGTAGAACCAAATTCTATGTTTGCGGAAGTTAAGTTCTCCAAAACCCCAATCAATGATCATTCTACCTAAACATGTTCTCTGAATTTGGGTTTACCTTCAATTGAATCTAGACATCATTCACAAATTATTGCAATAAATGACAAAATCGCAATTTTGCATCTCAGTCTATAGAATCCTACAAAACAACTAATCATCAGCAAGAATCTCTTGATATTTTATATGCAGACACCAAAAACATTTAATTAATGGATTGTTTTACCAAGATCCACCAACTACCCAAAAGACCAGACTGCAATTTTAACTCCCAACAGTTTTTCCTCACCATATTGCAAATAAAACGACTTTTTGTTTCTTGAATCTTGGTCAAGCAACTAAAAGGGACCATAACATTAAAGCAGGAAAAACATTCGTATTAAATTAAATGAATCAACATACATGAATTCTGCTCGGATGAAACATATAAATAATACAGAACAGACGACAACATACACACAGTTGAACAAAGCATGCATATAAGAAAGTCAACATCTCATCACAAGTTATGTTGCAGAAGGCAGTAAAGTCTATAGAGACTTTCCTTTTCTTCACCCATAAACTTTTTTTTTTCTTCATTTTTGCAGAGAAAAAGAAGCTAAAGTGTTGGATGATCCTACAATACTAAACAAACTAAAAGCAGAAGCAAAGAAAAAAAAAAAAACAAATCTGCCAGAGAAAAGTATAGTAGGGAAGTATTGGAATTACCTGATTTGATGCTGTGAAGAGAGAAAAAGCCATGCTTTTAACTGGCTTCACGAAAGCAGCCTGTACTTGGATACGCTTCCAGATAACAAAGACTTCAGCTTCAATTGCCTGAAGGTGCTCATTGACCATATTTGAAGCCAATTTCTGAGAGTTGTTTTTACTGGTTTGACCAAAATAACCATGTTGGAGGGTTATAATTTGAAGCTACTGTCTGCAGTCTTTGAAGGTTATAAGGGCACTGTTGTCATTCAAGTCAATGGAGGCTTTTCCATATGAATTTAAATGGTTTTGTTCGAGGCATATTACTTTGTTTGAGAAAAAAGAACATTTCAACGAATACACGCAAAGTACCATGTGCCTGGCTTCTCTTATCTACCAATAACTAGTTGCATAAATATATATATATATATATATATATATATATATATATTCTTTCTGTCATGACGTAAACTTGTCTGCTTACACTAGGAAAAAAAGAAAAATAATTAAATTGTGTGACAAATGCAAATTGGGTAAAGGATTGTGACCCCAAAAAAGTTGTTGGCAACCAGAGAGGGCCAAGATTTTTTTTCATATTATTAAAAAAAAATGTTTCATATTCACACATGCCCTCAATCTTTTATACAAAATAAATTTAAATCATTAATCTTTTATTACATATAAATAAATTTAAAATAATAACGTGTAAAATAGCATACATGTCAAAATGATGCATAAGTTTTAATAAATTGTTTTAGTTTTTTTTTTATCCAAATGATACCTACTTTTATATTATTTTATACATCATCTTACATGTTAATTGTATTATATAACCAATGGTTAGTCTTATTTAACTTAATTGGTTAAGGCCTTAAATTCATTTTATACAAAAGTTGAGGGTATATTCGGTATTAAAACTAAAAAATTAGAGAAAACTTTGCAATTGGGCCTTTTTGAAACTTAAAAGCAAGCCAGGAACTTGGGCCTGGCTTCAGGGCTGAAAGATACCCCAAAATTGGGCTGCACCTCTGCAGCCTGTAGACCAGAAAAGAGTGATTGGGGCTTAGGGAGAAAATGATTTACCAACCCAATAAACCCGCAACTTTCATAAGAAGGTGGCAGTCGCCAAGATTTGGCTAGTTCTTTATTAACCGTGTCAAATCCAATCGTGGTTGAGCGACCAGCAGAGCAACTATAAAGTACACACACAAAAAATAAAAAAATCATGGAGCTAGAAATGGGATATGATTGAGCCTTAAACCTGAAAAGGAAGGGCTTGTTGTTTTCCACGAGAGAAGATGAAAGAAAAAGGGGAAGTAATGGGCCACCCTTCATATTCAAAAGGAAAGTAAGTGGGAACAAAAAATGCCAAGGCTGTGATTACCATCACAATATTAGTGGGGATATTCTAACATATAGTTTCAACAAATCATTGTTTTCCCAAAGTTTCTTGTGATTTATTGATGTAAATACAATGAATGTGGGGTAGGTTTTGAAACTTTTGTACCTTGCCTCCAATTAACAAGACAAAATGGTTAGGAAATCAGGGGATTTTAGAGGGTAAGATCCCTTTTCCAAACTAAAGTAAAAGGTTACTCTAGTTCAGTAGAACCTAGATAGTTTCAGTTTTTATGCATATTTCTTTTTCATTTTCTTTCAAGAAGTTTGGCCTTACGTGTTCCTGAACCAGGAAGAGAAATTTTTACTGCCATTCATACATGCATGCGCCTCTGATATGAACCCTAAACTAGTACTAGTTTAATAAGGTCAAGTTTTTGGGCTAGCTGCGGAAAAACCTACCCAACAATAGAGTTTTTTACTTACTTTGTTGAAAGATTGCGGCCCTTTAAAAAGGTGCTAAACCATGTGGAAGAATGTGGGAATATCAGTTACTGATTCGATCAATTGCGACGGATGCTTTTAAAACTTAAAATATACCCGATTCTATCTATTGGACCAATAATCCATTGATAATATAGTAGTAGTAGTAGCTTGGAAGCAGCAGGTAGGTAGCTACATTTAAGAGTAAAGGGGGTTGTTCTGTCACTTCCATGGGACCCTTTTCCGAAGAAAACTTCCCTCAAGTAATAAAACTATGGTGGTTGTCCATACATCGGACGGTTGCTATCAATCACTCTTTCTCTCTCTCTCTCTCTCTCTCTCTCTCTCTCTCTCGCTCGAAATGCGGCAGATGGGCAGTCCCTTATCTTTTTGTTGTTATTGAAATCCAGAAATCCAGAACCAGACTTTATCCTTCGTGTAAGGAAACTTCACTCTTTTTCGTTGAGATACATATAATGTCAAAAGAAGGATATGGGTTATGGCCATCAGGCTGAACTAGCAAACTCTCGAGCTCAAAGCTTTTTTTCTAGTGAAAGTCTCGATCGGAAGTGGATTTATGCAAAGGTCCCCTACATGGGCACATGATTTTTCTACGGAAGTATAGCCAATTCGGATTCTGCAGCTCGCAGGGGCTTGGTCCCCGGGATTTGTCCTTTTCGTCTGTAAAAGTAACTGTGAATTAAACTCAGACCTAGGCTAAAGTTTAAAGTCAACAGTAGATGATAGCTTCAAGAATCACTGTTCTTCCTTTGATAATTTGTGTAAAATTTTACTATGAAACAACAATCATGTATATAGTAATTCGCTAAGTCGATGAACTACCGTGTCGGTGCCACAATTAACACATACAATCTTACCATGTAAAAGAGAGGGATGTTCAAAAAAAAAAAAGGTGAATTTTCATAGTATTAAATATGTTTTTCTTATATTTTTAGGTATAACATCATAAACCATATGATTCCATAATGATTTGAGGTTTTAAATTATCACAAAAGATTCACAAATTTGTGTAATTATGAACTAAAAAATCACAGTTCGAGAATAAAAGGAGAGTTAAAAAGAGTATTATCCAACTCATTCAACAAATGAACTTGCTATAAAACAAAAAGGATGGGTAGAGATGCAGAACTTATTACCTTGCCAACAACCAGCAAAAATACAGTAAAACCACGTAAAAGATAAAACATTTTACGGTATATTAGTAGTACATAGTGTATGTACACACACTTCCCCTCTCTCTTCTCTTATAACTCTGTCTTCTGTCATTTTTTTTTTCTGAGCATTTCAGACTGCTCTCACATGACTGACCTGCTGGTTGCTGCAGCCACGTATATAGTACAAGACAAAATAGAGGCCAACACTCTTCCTCTCTTTCTTTCTCTCTTTACTCTCCTTTTCTCTTCCTTGGTAAAAAAGCTGGCCCGTCCTCTGTTCACTACTGTCACACCCACTTCCCATTAATAACCCTGAAGCCTCCGCCTTCTTTCTCTAATTCTCTCTAACACAAAAAAAAAAAAAATCCCTTCTTTTCCTGTTCTTGTTTTTATTTTAGTCCTCTACACTAAAATCCATCTTCAGGAAGGACTCAAAATTTGTGTTTTTGTTTTTTTCTTATTCTGGCTCTCCCAACAATGGAAGCTTTTAGCTTGCTTAAGTATTGGAGAGGGGGTGGTACTACTGGTGGAGCTGGCGGTAATTCTTGCGTTAATGCACGTTCGACCGCCACCACCTCCGACACAACTACGATTGTGACGGCAGTGACTACTCATCAGGCGGTTGATGCGGATGATGATGACGACGACGATGATGGGCCTTTCTTCGACCTAGAATTTGCGGTTCCTGAAGAGGATGAAACGGAGGAAAACGAAGAGATTGATGAAGGAGATAATGTTGAAGATGGAGAAAGTGAGGATCTAAACGACGACGTTGATTCAAAATCCGATGATGGCTGCTCAGATGGTGAAACAGAGTTAAATTTTACACTCTCCTCTGGCTCCAGCGACGATCATTCTGATCCAAACTTGACCTTATCTCCTTCTGATGATTTGTTCTTTAAAGGAAGACTAGTACCCATTGAGCCAAACTCTTCTTTAGACTCAAAGCCTCCCCAATTCCCTGTCTCATTGTTGAAATCAGCCACCAAGTTTCGAGTTATGTTGTTAAGGTTCAAGAAATCAAAGCTTAACTCAACTGAAAAAACAGAGTCGGCTTCAGCTAATGGCTCTGTTTCTGTACCCGCAGCTGCACCAAAAATACAAGAAACAACCCAAGAGGAAAACAACAATAACAACAAGAACAAGTTTTTCACTGTGAAATTTAAGGTTGAAGATGTTCCTATAATGTCTTTGTTTTCCAGAGACAACAGCAAGTCCCAGAAACAACAGAGCTCCGAATACTCTTTTTCTGATGAAAAGAAATTCTCCAAAGATGTAATGCAAAAATATTTAAAGAAAGTTAAGCCTTTTTACGTTAGGGTTTCAAGAAAATACGCTGAGAAGTTAAGGTTTTCAGGGCAGTTAAGCTTTGGCTCTTTAAAACCTGCAATGCCACCGTCTACAGCGACTCAGAAATCGGTTTCGGGGAAGGTAACGACGGCGGAGAAGGGACAGGTGGAGATGGAGGTTGGGGATAGTCAGGTGAATGGGAAGAACCTCAAGCAGGTGAATATTCCAGCTGGACTTAGAGTTGTTTGTAATCATTTGGGAAAGAGTAGATCAGCTTCCTCCGCCGTGGCGGCGGCTCCTCCTGCGCCGGCTTTGTCTAAGAGGAGAGATGATTCTCTGTTGCAGCAACAGGATGGAATCCAAAGCGCCATCTTGCATTGCAAGAGATCCTTTAATGGCTCTCGAGGTATTTTGTTTAAAGCTCATCACTTTACTTAAAGGTGACCCTTTTTTTTCTTATTAATTCTGTTTCTGGATGAGTTTTGAATCTTTTTTTTTCTATCTGCCATAGATTCTTCAGAGTCTACCGTGTTGCCAAGGTCTGTGAGTGACCCAACTCATGAAAAGTCAAATACTTTGTCAAGAACATCACCAGTTAAAGCTAAAGAATGAAGAATGCTGGAAACCCCAGTCTCCGTAAGTTTTAAGATCGGCTCGCAAAAGAAATATAAAAAGAAACAAAAGGCGGGAAAATTTGTCCTTTATCAGTGAATCAATCCTGTATTAATATTTCAGGACAAGGAAATCAGTTTTCACCTCTCAGTTGATTATCTTTCTGTAAATAAATGTTTTTCTTTAGTAGATAATGAATTTTTACTAGTAGTATTAGATAAAAGGGAAAAATGAGCAGCAGCTTATTTGTGAAGATGACTGGTTAGTAGTAGCTAGTTGGTCTCTTCTGCTCTCTCTCTTTCTCTCCACGATGTATGTAAAGCTCCTCTTTCTGTGAAAGTGAGAGAAGAATCAGATCTTTGTTATGAAGGCTTCATTGTTATCAGCTAATTTTGCGTTTTTTTTTTCCTTTTAATTTGTATTTCTTATTCCTGGGTCCCGGAGTCGGGACAAAATACTGTCTTTAGTGGTCAGAGAAGTGGGAAAGTGGAAACCAAAACAGTTAAAAAATAGATTTGAGGTTTTGACAAAAAGACCGACACAATAGGGTTAACGATTGGGCAGCAGCAGATTAGGGTAAAGTAGAAAGAAAGGGAATGGGCAACGGCATATGGGTTGGCATCTCTATCACGGCAAAAATTCCAACATTTTTATCTTTCTTTTTTTAGTCTGTGGAGCAGTCCACGTACGAGTTCTCTCATGGACTCGTTCCTTGGTTCTTGCTTAATTTTTTTTTCCCATTAGCTTTGGCCTAATCATGTATTGGAACTCGAGAAGACATGGATGTTGATGATGCGTCCCATTTTTTCTCTTTGGTGTTGTGAAATAACTTAGGAGATTCAGTTTGTCTCCCGGGCGGCAGTATTGGGTCAAAAGCGCTGCTGAGTGCCTGCCTGGTGCTTTGTCGTTTTGGCCAATAGTCGGCTTACCGATTAATTTTTACCAACAGCAGCTATTTGCCCAAACTTTTGTTGCTCAAGCTTCCATTATATGAACTTAATTCTTCGTTTACTTAGTAAAATCGTAAAAAGAAATGAAACTAACAAATTCCTAGGAAAGAAAATGAAGAGAATGTTGTAGGGTAATAAATCGAGTAAATGATTGAAGTAAGAATCTTTTGGTTTTGGTGTCTGAAGCAGCATGCCCGAAAAACTTGATAACGGCATTGTTTTGTTCGCACAATACTTTGACTAATGCATTAGAAAGTTTAAATGGGCTTTCTAATCAGACTAAAGATTGAAGCACGCCGCACAACCTTTTTCAATCTCTCTCTCCAAAAAAACAAAGCAAAGAATCTATAATTATTAGTTCTTTGCAATCTTTTTTAGGCATAAGTGTACCATATTAGCCTCTGTTTGTCGGAAGAAGTGTTCAATGCATGTTGAGTGAGCCATTCTTTAGTGTTTATGATCTTTCGCGGATCATAAGCTTACTTCAAACAAGTTTTGTAATTGTCAACATGATCCTGGCCAATTTCTTCGAAGGTTTGGCTTCCACTACCTGACCAAGTAGTAACCAGGATGGTTTGTCTGATAGGAGACGATTAGATGAGGGCGGATATTAATAAATGCACTGTATTTGGTTTTGGATATCCGAGAGAAACATGTTAGCACTCGGCAGATTTTAACCTATATTGTAACTGCTATAGGGGACAGATCCCCTCAAAATGCCTGCATGGATGGCTTTTTGAGGCTGATTCATGAACATGGAAACTACTCTTTGTTTTCTCGATTTCATAAATGGATGTTTGAAACACAAATTTCACCATCCATGACAATTGCGACTGTTTTAAGGGGCACATACGCCCATCAAGAGCCCGCATGTGCGAGAGGGAGTGAGGGGATGCTTTTCCCCCCTTAATTGAGATTTGATAGTGATTAAACAGGCGTGATTCATGCAACCACTGAGAATTTTGCATTTTAATAGAGGCAAATGAGATTAATGCAGATTAAGGTTTATTTTTTTTTTTGTTTTTTGGAAGTTATAAGTGGAAAAATGCATGGACTTGAAAAGGCTTGACAAAGTCCCCAAACAAGTTCTCATCAGCCTGAGGAAGAAAGATTGGCACTGCTTCCCGGGATGATTTAGCTCTTTAAAGTTGCTAGCTTAATAAGAATACAAATTTAACTCATTTATGTAATATATATAAAAAATTAATATTCAACGAATTTAACATTAAAATTTCAGTAACTACAAATTTTTTTTTTAATTCTTATATTATGACGATGCTAGCCCAACAAGCAATTAAGCACGTAGGTCATTTTGAAAAAAAAAGAATATACATATAACTTAAAATTAAATTATATATTTCGTATGTGAACATGATTTAAGTATTTTCTCAATGATTTTGACATCACTTTTCTATTTAAACATTTTAATAATCTCCTAAGAAAAACTAATTATAAAAATATGTAAAAAAAATTATCATATATATATTAATAGTGAATAAAAAAATAATAAAAAAGTGAGACGCATATAGAGATGATAATCTATCTTAACGAAAAGCTCTTAGGATTGATTTTTTTTTAAAATTATATTTCGAGTCAGTGTCAAATAATAATAAAAAAATTAAGATAAAATCGAGATTGTGTTTTAGATAAATCTGTCTTGATCTTATTTGATATATATATAATTTTTTTAATTAATTATATTTAATTATTTATTTTATATTTATATTAAAAATTAATATTGTATTAATTTTATGTTTAATCAAATCGAATATAATATTATATAATATCAAATCAAATCAGATCAAATTTTAATATTAAAAAAATAAAAAATTATTAAATTAGATTTTATTATTATGAATATAAAATCAGATCAATTGACTCGATCTCTTGTCATCCATAGATGGATAGCAGATTTTAATCTTATAGAATTAAAAAATTTACTTTTAAGTGAATAAAAAACGACTTTTTTTCCTTTTCTCTTAAATTAAAATAAAAACTCGCTAAAAAAAGTTGTCGGCCGCGTTTTCCAGGTACGGCGGTTTGCGTTAAAATAAAAAGCTATGTCCTCTTTATGGGCCACGGCTGATGCAGTTGGTAAGGGAAAGTTGGCCAAGTTGACCCAACGAGGCTTATAAGAACCAATGTCTTTCTCCTGAAAGGCCCAAATTATCAAAATTCCCGGGCCTCACTATATTTTCAGAAACATTTGAACAAAAAAAATATTAAACAAAATTTTGCCAAAACGAACCATGCACAAAAACATTGGCCTTTTAACAGATTAATCAGAAAATCATACAACAGTCGAAGTGTCACGTTGGGGTTCTTCATTGAAGCATCAGCTAAAAGTGTCACGTTCACATCAGTCCTGACTTGAGACTCCGTTTGGTAAAAAGTACTCCAGGGGCTGGATTGTTATAGAATCCATCCAGATCTTGAGATCCTGTATCCGAAAAACTCTGAAAAAAAGGACTAAAAGTAAAACAACCACGCGGCTTGAATCAATAAAGCGCCCAGATGCAGCCACTATACTGGATATATTTTCTCTTTTTCAGCTTCAAGGCTTCATCGTCGCTGCGAGCTTGGATATACCATATGGTAAGTGTTCTTAGTTTTGGTTTTTACAATGATGTTTTAGTTATTGCACATACAATATCATGAAGAAGTTGAGAAATTAATTCAGTTATTTGTCAAAGAGAGATTGCTTTCCATTGGATTTGGACGCCTATATATATCTTAATTACCAGCAGTTAATGAAATGGCTCCGTTAGTCCTATATGATTAAATCAGGATATTAAAGCTCTCAGTCTGTCTTCTTAAGTTCCCTTAATCTTGCTAAGAATCATAAATGTTAAAGAAAAGGAAGTAAGAACCAAAACCAGTAAGCATAAAAACAAAAATGAAATAAAAATTCAACAATAATAAATGTATATGATGACATCCTGTATAAGATGTATCTGTACACACAAGGAGATCGTCATCTAGCATATATAATGCTGTGAACAAAATAAATATATGTCGGCGTATAATTTCTCACATAACATAGTATTAAAAAAAACCAAAGAACTTGAAAACCAAGTTGTCGTCATTTGCAGTTCAGATCTTGGAGATTCCTTGTTGAAACATCGAATGTGAGGGTACAATTCATCTCTGGGGATTTCCTTTTCTTCATCAGTTTCATCAGTTCCACTTTTCCTGTCAACTTGGCATGGCTGTTCAATGTCAATATATTGGAACTCAGTTCAGAGGCAAGTCCTGTAGTGCTGGGCAATGCTCTGGAGTTTACTTCCACTGTAACATCCAATCTTTTGGTCGAACGAGCCCTGGCCCTGGCCTTAGGAATAATCGCCTCCCCTACTATTACACCATCGTACAGGAATGTCAGAGTACTGTAATCAAATCTGTAATGACCAAAATTGGTGTTTTTTACTGTAACTTGGGCAATGAACTTGAGGTCAAATGAAGGAGCAGCAGCAGCAGTGCCGGTGTTATTAGTTTCCATTGTTTCAATGGTGACTCTTCCAATTCTCACCTTTGGGTTCTTAACCCGCATGACAGTTAGTGCAAAAACCAGGATGACAATAGTTTGGAACACCACAAAAGCGGCAATATACACAGCATATTTGATTCTTTTCTTTCTTTTGAGCTCTTCCAATTGCAAACTGGCTGATTCTCCATCACTTCTCGGGTGCTCGTTGGCCGGTGCTAGGGGATGCATCTGCTGGTCTTTCTCAGCCATTTTTCTTTTGCTAGCTCAGAAACTGAAAAGAAAAATATTCTCTAATTTATCACTTTTCTTGATGTTTAAACTGAATTGAGAAAGTTTGTGGCAACTTCACCAAAGCAATCTGATATATATAGTACTCCAAAATCATTAGGGCGGTGAATTTAACATAGAAATAAACAAATTGTCATAGTGAAATATTGATGGTCAGAGAGGTTCCCCGAAATGGGAATGAAACGAAGAGTCTTTGTTTTTGTTCAAGCATTAAACGCGTGTAAGATTGGACTTTTTGACATTCATTCTAGATGGCCCCTTGACTTTGTTAAATGGTAAGAACTTCTCATCGTTAGGTTTCAAATTCTATTCAATCCGTTAATTGGACTAGAAAATATATTAGATATTTATCAGGGTATTATATTATTTTAAATTATTAAAAATTAATCGTTAACATTTAAATTATAAATTTGTACAGTTTATCTACAGATCACGTAATTGTTATTATATAATATTATATTTTTAATATTATAAGATAAAGAATTAAACAAGTTGCATCTTTTGAAGTGAAAACAAATATAAATATTAGAATATTGAGAGGGACAAAAGAGTTATGTCTTCTTATTTATGTTTATGGCAATAACATTCATGTTTATTTATCGTTGAACAATTCTTTTGGGAAGACGTAGAAATGAAGGCTTTGAACATTAGAGGTGAAGAAATTAACTCCTTTTTCCTTCCAAATCTGAACTATATTGGGTCACAGTCATAAACTGTGTTCAAGGGACTCTTCGGAGGGTCAGAATGGTGGGGGACTCGGACTAGTTTTGTTTGAATCGGTTCAGTTTGCAAAGATGTATGTTAGAAAGCTGCATTCATCTAAATCTAATTAAACAAAAGAAAAAAAAAACTTATAAAATTTGATAATTTATTATGGTCAATAAAATGGAAAAATATCTTTTTATTTGCAAGACTTATCTAACTTATTTCCATCAACTTTTTATGAAATTATATGTACAAATTAAAATTAATTAATAAACATGACATAACAAATTAATTAAATAGATCAATAAAATAACAACAAATTGAACGAAAAAAATTCACATATGATAAGATTTTATTCAATGAAATTCTTTAATTATGATTAAATTATTATTAATAAATATCAAGGTTTTTATGATAATTTATTCATATTTATTTAAATTATAGATGATTTTTTGCTATGATATCAAAACTCCTTTTACTTAACTTATTTCAATATCACATTGCAACTCTCTCTTATTTTGTTGAGTTAAATTTCAAGATAATTTTTTTTTTACATAATTTATATATATTAAGAATTAAGTGATTCAAACTCAATTTTTCAATAAGAAAAAATTATGTATTAACCATTAAACCAAATCTTCGGATAATGTTTGCTACATAAATTTTAAGATAATAAACATAAACATACTTTGTTTATCATCAAAGGATAGTTTTATTCTTAAGTAGAGATTAACAAAATTTCTAACAAAAGAGGATAGTATTTATTTCTTTATTTCAACACATAATAATGTATCTAATATATATAGAAGTAGAAAAAGTATTAAAAAGAAAAGGTCGACTGAAGCGAAACATAAATAAAAGAAAAACAATCTATCCAACAGCTGAAATTTCATTCGCAATCCAAATCCTGAAGAGCATGGCTGCTCAAATTCACCGTCATAGTGCAATTCATCTCTGCAGTCTTGCTTTTCTTCATCATCTTCATCAAAGTCACCTTCCCTCTCAACCTCGCCACTCCGGCCAACCTCAAAGTCCCACTGCTCAACTCAGTACGAAGCTCATCATTTCCATCAGATATAGCACTTGAGCTTACAATATCAACCGCCACATTCATCCTCTTAGTCTTCCTAGCACGGGCACGGCTCTTGATGATTTCACCACGACCCACCACCACGCTTCCGAAGGTAATGTTAGCAGTGGTATTTTCAAACCGGAAGTGACCAAAATTCGTGTTCTTCACTGCGATTTCCATGATCAGTGTCATGTTGAAGTGAGGGGCTCCCGAAGCATTATAGTTGAGATTTTGGACCGTCACGGATCTTACCCTAACCCTAGGAGTCTTGATACGCATGACCGTTAACGCGAAAACAAGAATTATGATGGTTTGAAAGACAACCCCAGCAACGATATATGCATAACATTTCATGTTTTGCATTTTCTTGTACTTCTCCGATTCCAACATGGCTGGACTTGTTTTAACTAAGATCAGAGAAAAGTGGGTTCAAATGATGTTTGATCGGCTAAGTACCTGAGTGCTGGAGATTAATTTGTGCTTGTGGGTATCATAAATACTTATAGGTAGCGGTGGCCAAAGGAACAGATTTATAATAAAGTTTTCATCTCGATCAATGAAAATGGAGGAAGATGCTATGAAATGATTTGCTCATACAGCGTGTGGAAAAAATATAAATATATCTTGGCAGCCAATGTAGATTTTCACAACTGAGGTGTTGGAACGATATTGAAAAAACGACTTGGACAGAAGTTTCGGATCCAAAAGTTCAAACAATTAAACTTAATTTGAATTTACCAATTTCGGAGACTTTAGAGACAAGTAAATTATATAGTACGGTAAGTTAGAAGAAACGACGGGGTATTTCAGACTGACCAAAACAACTGATAGGGAACCACAAGCCCTATTAATTAGTATTAAATTTTTGGTGGCTTCAAGAATTCAAAGAAAATGCATTTACCTCAGTTATCTTGGTCGTGTAACAAACAATTTGCGTTTTTCATATTGGTCTAGAGTCGTCTAATGCGTGTTGATCCTACCAATTTAATTAGATTAAGAAATACTATAAACATAAACATGATATAAAAAAATAAGAAAATTATATGAATTAAAATTTTAATAATAATTATATATATGAATTTAATAAAATAAAATATATATTTTATATTTTTATATTAACATGATGCGTAATTTTTAATATAAATATATAAATTTTAATAGTTTATATAATAATAATATATGAATCATTAGGTTTACATGTAATCCTTTTATGAGAGTATATGACCTTATTATATCAATCATAATAGAGAAAAAAAAATCAATTCAAAGGGGAATTAAACCTTAAATCATTTGGGAGAATTAGCCTATCCTCAACTCTATATCCCTCACATCAAATACAATTACCCTTAATAGTTAATTGAGGTTTTAGAAGGGGAAGAACGTGGATGGAAGCAACCTCAATATTATGCATAGTGATACCTCCTTTCTAGACCTCTATGGGAGAAAAAAGTACAAGAAGAGAAGCAAAGGACATGATTCAAGCTTAATTAATTAAATAATCATGAGCTTATAAATGAAAACAAAAAAATCATTCATCATCAAAAGCAACACTGGAGTTCGTAAGTTGCGTTGGCCAAAAAAAAGTTGGTACGTTGCCAAACTTGGAGAAAAACCAGAGCAATGATTAATAGTAGTACATTAGACAGCAGCCATTAAGGACTTGAGCAGCGGATTACATAGGCAGGCTGATTACATAGGCGGGTGAGGGAGAGAATTTGACAATCATATTAAAGCAATTTTAACTTCAAAATTAAATAAAAAATAAAAAATAAAAATCCAAGTGAATAAAGCTGAAAAAACAAATGAATATAAAAAAAATCCCCCGTTGAATTAAGCTACCGATACAGTTGCTCAAATAATTAATCTTGAGGGATGAGGATCTCTACTTTTCATTGGGCTGACAAGGCCTTATGTGATCTGTGGGCTAGGAATTGGAGCCCAATGGAAAAAAGGCCTATCTAAGAGAAATCAAATGGGCTATATTTCGGATCAAGGCTTTTGTAGTGCTGTAATTACCATCTAATGAAGTACAAGGGTGAAAAAAAAAAAAAAAAAGCTCTCTCCAAATGGAACCACACTGCCATGATATATACTATAGAACTGCAAATTTCGAGGTTTAGTGTCAAAGTTGATTATTTATTGTTTGCGGAAATATATAAAAGAAGAAAGAAATTGTTGAGATTATATTATATAACTGATCGTATACATTTACATTTACACAATAACTATATATAGAAGAAAAACCCTTTCCATTGAATCTGTATTAAACATCAAGATAAAACTAGCAAAATTAATTAACTTACAAAAGGTGTGAACCTCTGATCCTTATTGGAATAAAATACGTAATAGCAGCTTGAAATCTTCATCGGCACGACATTGTAGAAGGATTCTTCCGTGGAAAAATTGGAACGTTTCAAAAAGACAAAATTCCAGGCATCCCCTCTGCTTTTCAAAGTTGTCCTCGTTCTAATCCACCTATGAATGGCTTACCAGTCATGCCTGACCTGGCTTTATCATTTCATTATCACCAGCGTCAACCTCTACATTAAATTGCATGCAGCTGTACGGCACTCATCCCTTGCTCGCCATACATTTCAGTCTCTCTCCGTACTTGCGCCACGAGTCAAATGAAGAAGTACGCCTTTGAATTCCAAGCCATTTCCCAAAACCATTAACTTTTTCTTTTTCCCATTCTTTTTTTGTGGGTATTAAAAGATAGACCTAAATGAAATATATATTTAAAGAGAGACCTAAATGAAATATATAATTAAAAATATATTTGATAATTTTTTTCTTCTTTTTTTTTTTTTCTCTCCTTTTCTATTGTAACTGTACAGTAACGACTCCTATCTTGGCTTACTGCAAAATTTCTTATTTCTATTTACTCCCATGATCATTCTTTTTTAAAAATGCTCCTTGTGGAATTCAAATTTAGTGGAACCTTTTTGGTTGAACTCGTAGCAGAGTTTGCTAAGTTCTTTAGCCAAAACCGGAGCACCGCAGTAAAAGACTCCTGCTCCACCACAATAAAACCACCACCACCAACAATATAAGAAGACAGAGAAGATTGCCATTTTAATTTGCTTTTATAGAATTGGGGCTCACCTATCCTTGCATTGCAGTGCTTGGAACTTAGTTTAGAGAGGACGTTCTTCCATTTAGGCCTTGCAAAATGGGTCCGCACCTGATAATGGCAAAGAGGAACTGTTGCTATGTATTTATGTTTAAAAGTTTGTAACAGTCGCACTATTTTTAATGCATGGGAAACACCCGTGATTTGCGGAGCGAATTTGTGACAGAAACAGATTGCAGAGTCTCATCATAAAGGTTTTGGATGTGATGTTCAGAATCCTAAAAGACAATCAGTTGGTGGTATATGCTAACAGAATGAAAATGAAAGACAAAAAGATCTTACCCTGGTGCCGGAAACGATGTCAACTCCATTCTTGGCATGATTTAGTGCTTGGACCATGGTGATAAGAGCTGAACGTGCGTCTCCTTCCTCGTACACGCTAGTCAAATAGTTGTGCATTTCAATGACACCCTAGTGTTCAAAGTGACAAGTTAGTAACACCTTAAGATTTTCTAAGAAAATTAAGAATACAAAACTTTTAAGTTGATTAGTTCATTTACCCTTTTATCAAGTTCTGCAACTTCATTCATGACTCCTTTGAACCAATCAAATGAACCTTGCTCCCTGGTTACCCAATAAAAGTAAGCATTGGTCGTCTTAAGAGTTTTCTTCCGTTTCGGTGAAACTCTGTTGTGAGTGGTTGAATCATTGCTCCCAGTACTTAGGTCTGATGTCCAGCTGGTATCTGAGACCGAATCCTGAAAATGAAGAAGAATCATTGGATCTGATAATGAAACATCGAGAAACCATGATTTGGACAAATAATAAGAAAAGCAGATTCTTTAACTTAGCAAGTGTTACTTACTGCCTGCTCCTCCATTTTGACAATGTTGTAAAGCAGATCTTTTAAGATGCTGATAAATGGTGTTGCACCAATTCCAAGGCCTACAAGTAACAAGACATCGTACTTCCGATAGTCTTGTGCCGGGGCACCATATGGCCCATCTATTAAGAGCTTTGGCAAACTGTTTTTCAGAGAAGAATATCAAGAATCATTTAAAAATACTAGATAATTCCTATAGATTCTAAATGCTTCTAAAAAAGAGAGAAAATGTTGAATATTAATAGAAGCCAAATAGATTAGACCTTTTCTTAGTTGTCTCATCAGCCCTGAGAAGGCCACTTTTCCCAGCTACAGGAGGTTCACAAACATCTGAGAATAGCCGTTTGAGCTCTTGGGTCCAGTCACCTAGCTGTCGGATATGAACACTAAGGTAGGAATCACCGGGAGCAGAGGTGATGGAAAATGGATGCCTGGTTCACAAAAAGAAATGCTCATGAGTAGAGAAAAAACTTGCATAATGCAAAATATACCCCTGCTCTCTCGATTGATCAAGCCACCCTTATCTCAAAACTGATTTAAGATTGCAACTATTGAAACATTTGTATGTTAAACTTCCTTTTCATTCTTAAAAAGCGATCAAATACGATGAACCAGGTTCTTATCATATTACAGGATTATTGTTCACGGCAAATTGAATTTGCTTCTGATCTAACTAATGTCCATTCTCATCCTCTTCTATTTAAGGATTTATCTCTAGTGATATTATTCTTGAAGTGAAACAGCTGAAATCATCCCTAAAATATTATATATGCTTTAAATTTTTTACTTACCACTCAAAGGGGGAGACAGCAGGGCACTGGACAAACATGTACTGTCCACTCTTGTACCGAAATTGAGGCGGCTTAGATATTTGTAATGTAAGAACACCCCCGGGATAAATTGCAACCTATTTATTGAGAATGTGGAGGACAATAAGATCATCAGTCAAAATACATAGTGGCCTGGATTGAGACCTAAATTCAGGGTTCATTCGAAAAGGATCGCAAAGAGAAGCAAATTTCTGCAATCACTTGTCGTATATAATGAATCATAATTGACAGGAGTTAAGCTTACCTTCAAGAGCCGGACGGTATAGAAACCAGATCGGAAAAATCTCAGTGTCCTTTCTCCAGCATATAACAAAGCTGGAACAGCTAGGTACATCCAAGTCTGTAACCAGGAATTCCATTCCTTAAACTACAGTTACAGTTACTTAAAAAATAATATAAAATCCTGCTGTTAGAATTTCTCCAATCATTCGAGAAATGAATAAGATTTAAATATATACCGTCTTTCGGTACCATATGTGCTCGAGATAAAGGAATACACCATGGATGATGAGCAAGACGTAGACGATGACGAACAGGTGATGTGAGTACCAGAAGGCATTGAAGCCAGTGATTCTATCAAAGGGCTTGGGCAGCTTAATCAGGTTCCGCCGAAACCATCTTGTTGCCAGTGTAAATGCAATTGCCATGCAGATAATCATTAGAATTCCTGTCACTCCTTCAGCCCCTTTTACCAGGTCTATGTACGTTGGTTTATGACTTCCAAAGTCTTGGATTAGAAAATCACCATAGTCTTGAGTAGAAGACTTGAGAAGCCTCGGAAAATCGCAGGCAAGATGGTTAACAGCATGGAGAATGACTCCAATAACAATCGCTGCAGCTATAGCCTGCACAAATTCAATGGGACGAAGAGAGAACATAAAAAATGATCTAATCGGATGGGAATCATGAACAACTTTCAAACTTTAATAACAAAATACTCCATTAACAATTAGCAATGTTATTATGCAATGCATCAATTTTGCTTTTCTTTATGGGCTAATTTGCAAATGTTTGAATTGTTTTTAACTCAAGAACATGGTTAATTCAGGGATATAAAATAGTCAGTGCCATGAAAACCTTATATCCACTAGCTAACTCCGCTAACCTTATATTCATTCTACTAAATCCTATATATGTATATCTACATATATATATATATGTACATAAACATATATCTATGTTTATGTATATGTATGTATAAATGTGTGGGTGTGGGTGTGTGTGTGTGCATGTGTGTGTGTCAGTTTTGGCTCCATGGACCCAAGTACAGCAAAGATTACATTCTTCAGAACCTTTGAAGCTACAATTCCCTGAGCTACAGTAGAAAACAGGATAAATGATGCGGCTGATGGATTAAGTAGCTGCTTCTTAATCATAAAACAACAAAGTATGCATGATCCATTGTTCTAGAGCCGTCACTTGCCATCTATGGGGGCACGTTTTATCAATCTAGTAAGTAATATCGAACCGTCCACGTCCAAGTAGGGAAAATGTCAAGCTATTGGGACACGAGAGTCTTACAAGGAACTGAAATTAAGAATGCATATTATTGGCTTTAAAAAGGACCAGATTGAAAATCATTACGGTATATTTGAATTCATTGCTTATTTTAATTAATTTGTGCAATTATTTTTAAAATATAATATTTAGTAGATTTGAAATTTAAATGCCAAGATTTAAAATATTTTCTTTTATCTTGTAAAATTTTTTACAAAAATATTACAATATATTTACCTAATATGATAGGTTTACTTAGGCCAACTAGATGAGATGCGAAGGGAAATAGGTGCTTTAATAACTCAACCCAACCCCAAATTAATGAGCAAATTTTATGTAAAATGTAAATAATAAAAGTTAATTTCAATTTATTTTTAAAGATTTTTTAACTTTCAAATTTATTTATAAATGATGTGATAAATTGTGATTCAAAGATATTGTATAAACTTTATTAGTATATAAAGTTCATATACTATTAACACATTAGATATAAACTCTTTTGAGATTGAGTTGACCTATTAAAGCTCTTATTTCCCTTCAGATCTCATCTAGCTGGCCTAAGTAAACCTATAAGTAAATATACTGTAATTTTTTGTTAAAAAAAATCACAGTTTGAGATAAAAAGAAACAATTGTAGATGCTGGATTCAAACTCAAAATCTATTAAGCTGCACAAATCAACTAAAGTAAGATATGGGCTCGAATATACTGTAATTAAATGCCCGTTATCTTCTTTTCTAAAATTTGATGTTGAAGGAACATTGGAATAGGAGAGAGAAAATAGAAGACTAACCCAGATAACATGATATTTTCTTCCGTGTATAAAAAGAAGAAAGAGTCTATTGCAAATGCAGGTTTTGCAATTTTGAGAAGCATTTAACCAAACCCAGATCCTGGCTATACGATTATAACATATGGAGACTTTGTTGGATAGCCTAGTACAGTATTTACCAGGTTTTTCGCTTCTAATATTCTATCTCCTAATTTCAACTATTAATTCCTTTTTGTTTCTTTGTTAGTGAAACTAAAAACTTGGTCTGTCTGTGAAAGTCGATGCTTTTGGTCACCACCAAAAAAAGCTAAAACAGTAAAACTACAATGTTTTAATTTCATGTATAGTATTAGTACCCTAATTTCTTCAACCACAAAAAAAAAGAAAACAAAAGATCTGTTTAGTTGTCAACTTTTGCTGCTTGATGCCCCCCACATAAATAGTCTTGTAGACATCACTGTTTTAAGTGGGAGAGAAAATAACGATCTATTATTGTCTTTTATGGCTGAAATTAACCCATCATATTGACTTCCATGATCAAGCCCCCCCACCAGGGACCCAGTCACCCAGAGGATAAACGTAAAGGAGAAGCAAAAAAGGTTAAAGAGAAAAAAGAGTTGGTATACAAGTATACGCACCTTGTGAAAGTTGATATTGTCGTCAAAAGGAACAAAAAGATTCAGCTTGGTGGACCTGAGCCAAGTAATGGTGTTTCTGCACACGGGCAAGAGGATAAGAGCCATGTTAAACTTCAAGGTCTCGGCTGCTCCCTTGGCAGTGAGGAGACAATAACGCATAACCTTAAAAGCATTCTTCTGTTTGTATTGAAAGAACTTCCAAGTAAAGAGCCCTATCATAATCAAAATCCACAATGACACGACCCATAACCTCTTCCAATTTTCTCCCAAATAGTACAGAAGTTTAGCGCTCATCCTTCTGATTCTGCTCTTCTTTCTTAATCCTTGTAAGTTTTGGCTAAGGGCTTGGCTTGTGTAGCTTAGGGCTTGACTGTAGCTCAGATACGTGTCCTTTTGCAAGAGAAGTGTCTCCAATTGCCACAGCTGCATCATTTTCATCAGTCATCATCCACCAAATCATACAATTATATTAAATGATCAGAAATTTCTAGGCATGCAAAGAACAGGATTATCTTGATTCTGTCAAGTGTCAACTCATTACACTATCAGTGATGCAGAATGGAGGACGCGCGCATGCGTGAATGAGTGAAGGAAACGCGTATTAGAGACGGCAATAACCAGAAAGCAAAGCTCACATGGGAACTCAACAGTGTCAGGTCCACAATTTGGCAGGACCACGAGTTCAAAACGGTCAATCATAGGATGAAGTTGGTCAGGACCCATAAAATCTATTACCAAATAACGTAAATACCCTTTGCTCAATACTCTTATCTCAACAACTTTGACAAGTAAAACAAAAGAAAAACATCAACATGCAAAAAATGAAAAAAATAAAGAAAAAAAATCAAATTCGAGGCAGATGCCAGACAGTGACCTGACAAGTTGATTTTGGCCTTTCGATACACTCTTTAATTATCACATGAAGATGAAGCAGTTAAAGAAAACAATACACTCACTGAAACTGAAGATTAAATGTGGTAAATATTCACTGGATAATCCTGTAATTTGAGAGATTAAAATGGAAAACATATTAGATAGGAGTATAATTTGGGCTGTACCATTTATTACGGAAAGGAACTTATTCAACCAACTTTTTCTCTACATGGAGCTCAAGCAAATTGGCCCAGACTCAGAAAAGGAAGTATTGGAAACTGTTCGACGACCTCAAATATAAGTTACTGTTTACCAACATAAGATGAGTTGAGCTGTCTCTGGTAAAACTGTAAAAGCTTGTTATTTTTCTTCATAACGGTTGAACAAAACCAGAACCAGATTGTTGGAAGATTTGATCATTTTTCGCCTAACAAATACACTTTGGAAGAAAATGTCCAATTTAAGAACTGTTTCCTTTACTTATTGTTTTATAATATTCAAAACTCCATCTCCAATTGGATATCTTACTGAAACTAATTTATGATTGTGGAACCTAATTTGAAAACGAAGTCTGCAAAAGATCAATAATAATGTGTAGTATAATTATCTCAACTTGCTTTATTAAATTCTAGAACATCCCTTTTCTTGATGCCTTAAAAAAAGTCATGCAAAAGCAAAGAAGGAAACATTTGGTCATGGAAATATCACTTTATCATATAAATAATGGACCCACCTCAATGTATCCAAGTCTTTCAGGGTCCAACTCTTCCATGATCAGAGCTGCATATTCTTCCGCCTGCTCCTTCAATCTCGATAGCTTGTTTGCTGAAGCACTTAGCACGATAATCTACACATCCCAGGAGGAAAATAAAAATTTAATAGACCAAAATGCCCCCACCAATCCCACTAAAAAGTTATTGATAAAAAAATGGAAGTGCCATCTGTCCTTATCTTTGAATAATGAATATCGATCTATTATATATTGGAGTAGATAGTTTTAAGAATTTCTTGTGATTTAAGGTCGGCCAATCCCTGCCTAACACTGATTATAATAAACCCAAACGACACCCTGTAACCAAGTCTTTAATCATTCATGATAAACTTTAAATCACTTCCCTCCGATAACGAAATGACGGCCTGAAAACTTTTTTTTTCAAGAAAAAACTTTTAATTTTAGCGGAAGGGACAATAATTTTGGCTAATTTATGCATGTTGGGTTACAAAATTAGTTTAACGTGGCTCCCTAATGCAATTTTATTAAAGATTTGGAAAAGAATAATTTTTACCTCTTTTACTTCAGCCTCGGTAATTCTACCGTCTTCATTCTTGTCCACCCTGTAACATAAAGTAAACATCATATAATATAAGATTATAAAAATAAAATTCAAATATTAATCATTTAAATACTTACAAAAAGACGATTTTCTCTAACTTTCAATTTGCATCACTATTTATTGGTCTCTAAAATTGTGAAGTTAAGCGGTTAGTTTAATAGAGAAAGTCTTAAATGAAATTTTTAGGTGAAATTTATAAAGTTTTTAATTAAAAATAATTAAATTAAATTTAAAATTGAAAAGCAAAATTTATAGATTAAAAATTCTATTTAAATAAATAAAATTAACGAAATTTTTATAGTTAAATAAATATTAATTAAATTTAAATTATAAATAAAATTTTTAATTTTTTTACACATTATTAATTTTTATATTAAATTTTCTTAATCTATCTATTTAAATTTTTTATCAAAAATTTTATTAAATCATTTTTAAGAAAAATTTCACAAATTTTGCTTCAAGATCTTCATTGTAACTTTTTTCCTAGTTTAATAAAAATAAAATTAATTTTAAAATTAAAAATTTTAAATTTGAACCTATAAAAAAAATTCAAACAGTCTCAAACAAAGTTGAGAGAGAGAGAGAGAGAGAGAGAGAGAGAGAGAGAGAGAACTTTAAGCTTTATTTATTAATTTAAAAATTGATTAATTAAAAAAACTTAATAATTAATTAAAAACTAGAATTAATAATAGTAGTTTAAAAATGCGTACATGTCGAAGAAAATCTGAAGGCGAGAATCAAAACTTTGATCGGTGATTTGAGACCAATATTCATAAAGCTCATCTTTGCTAATTTTTTCAACTTGTAATCTCCTTCGTCTACTCAATGCATCGAACATCTCCAACGCAAATTCCTTCGAGTCCTTCATTCCTTGAAAAACAGTAAAAAACGAAAAAGAAAACGTTAATTACTAAATGGTGTTTGAAGATAGATTCAAGTTTAAGCGCTTAGGAAAATTGGTTATGAAAGAAAAATGTGATGATGAAATGAATGATAACCTATGCATTGTGCGAAATCGAAGCGGAAGAGAAAGCCGTCTCTGGCGAGTTTGTTGAAATTGTTTTCAACTTCTTCCCATGCATTGGCTTTATTGTTACGTATAAATCTTAATCCTCGAAGTGCTTTTTGAGCCCCGGAGCGATTCCGGTCGAGTTGAGCTCGCTGCTTTCTAAGAGCTCGAGCGGCTAAAACCGAGTCTAATCCGGTTATAGTTTGAGCTGCGTGTCCGTGGCCCCATGAGAACTTGAGTAGTTCAGCTTTTAGCTCTTGTGAGAACTGCTTGGCTTTGGCTACGGCTTCCGCTTTTAGTTCTTGTGAAAACTGTCTCAATCTATTGGATGAGCTTCGCTTGATCGCCGGCGATCGTGAGCCAGAGGCCGGAGTATCCGCTCCGTCATCTACACTGATGACAGTGGCCGGCTCGACGCTTCGGAGTATGATGGTGTCATCGTCTTGGAGATCGAGAGTGACCTCGACGAACTCCTCGGCCGAGTTGGACTCAGTCCCCGGCGACGTCGTTGAACTGAGGATGGTTTTGGCGGGAATAGTGTCTGAGGCCCACCGCCTCTCGTGCGTCGGTAAAGAACTGCCTCTCATTGACCCAACAATATTAATTACACTGTGTTACTGTTGATGTTATTTTAAAGAAGCAGGAGTTAAATGAAAGTTTAGTTATTGAAGGAAAGAAAAAAAAAAGACAGAAGCTTTCAATATAAGGGGAGGGGAGAGGAAAAGCGGAGGGAATCTGGGGAAAAAGACAATAACGTTAGTGAGCTCTTGAGGATTGGGGAGTCTTTTTCCTGTCCGCTGTAATTTGATGTTTGGCTTCACGCGTTTATACTGATTTGGTTTGTTTGGAGAGGAAGTTGTGAGCTAGAAACTAGTAAGTAGCCAAACAAAGAAAGCCAGATGGGCAGTGAACATTTTAGGACGAAAGAAATATTAATTAATATAAATTTTCACAATTAAAATTTTAATTTACCGTGTTGCTTGGGTCTGCAAAACCCTTCCTTTTTTCTTGTCTTTTCAACAAAGCTAATACTATTTTTAGTTATGTTTCTAAAAATAAAACAGAAATGCAAAAGAGATAATCACACTTTTAAACATGACATTCTCATTTTTAGCAAATTTGTGTGGTTCTCAAGCTTACAATTACATACATACTTGTAATCTCAGGAATTCTGTCTTTGGATTAAAGACAATGCCAAGTCTCTCATTACATTACTTCCAACCAACAAATCAGTCTCTTGCCTCATTACAGGATTTGAATGACAGCTTCTTCTATTATAACATAAAACTGAGATTACATATATGATCAGATCATGACACAGATGCAATGTGGGACGACATTCTTATTTGACTTTGCCGTCTCATATATATATATATATATATATATATGGAGAGAGAGAGAGAGAGAGTTTAAGGAAGAACAAATAAAGCAACGGAATGTCTGATTTCAGTCTGTTTTAAATCAGGAATTTCTTCAAAGGGCTTTAGCATTATAGTATGCATTCTTTTCAAGTTTTATAGCTAAAAACAGATATTAAAGGAAAAGTGTGTCCAAAAAGACATGCCAACAAAATTTGTCGACTTTTTTTGAAGCAAAATGATGTTACACATGTGCATATATACACTTCATGTCAAGCTTGTTTTCAACAACAAAATTACAGTTTCAGATCCATGCATGTAACAGTATGGTTTCAGTCAAGAGAGAATTTAGACGGTATAAAGTAAAAAACTTTGAATGCATGCTTTTCCTCAAATTTTGTGGCTTTCAAAAGGATAAAAAGAAAGAACTGAAGAGTCCTAAAATCATTGTAGACGATGCTAAACAAATAACAACAAACAAGTTTTATTTTATGAGTTTATACTTGATACAATGATAATGTAAATGATAATTTGGGTCCACTTGAAATCTCTTCCATTATTCCCAAGTCATTTGCCCACCAACTCCTTTTTAGAATTTAAACCTTTTTCAAGGTCTTGTTGGTTTTTGTGGATGTGGTCGTTCAATTTTTCTTTGCATAACATCATCTATTTCCCTCTCATCAATTGGCTAATCTACCAGAGACTTTTGATTGGATTTGTTTTCTTATTATATTATATGTAAGCCTATGCTGTAAATAACACAAAACCAATTTAATTTACATATTTATTTATGGGACTTGAGTTGATCCAAATTTAAAACACTAGAAACCCAGGTTGAATAAATAACACCAACACAGGAAAAACAGACAATTTCCCACATCGCCCTCAAGGAAGATTGGTTCCTGTAAATTTAAACGTCCTTATCTTACCAGTTGCGCTTTTTTTTCTCATTGGAAGTGTTTGTTTGGTAGAGTTAGCTGTAATTCAAATGAAATTGTTTATATTGACTGGGACTTCACTTGTTCGTCAATGATGCTACGTGAAAAGACCGCACGAAGTCCATCGATGTATATATGCAGGCAAATGACATCTTGCAGTAGTTATGGACTTTTGCCAAAGAGCCTGTTTCAATGCCCACTTATACAATATCTGAGCTCATGTCATTGAACATTTTTGAACTGATCAATGATGCATGGAAAAATGTCACTAAAATTAGTTAAATTTTAAACGTACAAGTAACATTTACGGATACGTACAAAAAGTTACTAACATTTATTTCAACCTTTCTGGATTATAAAACGTAGAGAAAAACGAATGAAGAGATTGGTGTTACTATAATATATGATAATTACAAATTGAAATTCAGCTGCACAAGGCAAAACTCATATCTATATTTTACCTTCCATTTCTTGATAAAGTCATCCCCACAACGGTATTTTAATGCATATGACTTGACTTCACCTGCACATTTTTGGAGGCAACAGTCTTGATCATTATCATCAGCCAGCTTTCTTCATGTTTCATACAAAGAAAGAATGCTATAATATTCTATTACTGTTTCAATTCTCTGGTCTTAATTTTTTGCTGATGATGACAACCCCATCTGCATTAATTTGTACAGCTGCTTGCTTAGTATATATCAGTCATTGAAAGTGAAATGGAGATTCCCCATATTCATACCCATATTCATACCAAGAGAACAAAAAGCATGAAATCCCACTAATGGCAGCAAGAAAGAAGCACTGATTCATTTTTCTGTAAAGCTTTGTAAGGGGTTGAACAAGTTCATAAATGGGAATAAAAGTAGATTATATGCGCCGAATTAAGCTTTATTAGAGTCCAAAATATGGCAAAACTAATGGCAAGGATCAGACTTGGAAAATTCTTGGAGACATAGACTAGTGTTTTATGGTTGGCCTCATGAAATACCCATGGCAGACAGCCTATACATTGAATTTGGAAAAAAAAGGAAGGGGAACCCACTCAAAAAATGCTTAAATGATGATAATTGTTTCTAGTTAGCCAAGTCTTCATGTGTGAAAAGGAAAGTGTAATTCAACGATTAGGATAAATGACAAGTCACTCCATCTTTGATATATACTTGTTCTGTTTTGCTTTATGAAAGAAATTAAGGTTTAGACTTTTAGTAAAGTTGTTTTCATTTGCTGTGATGTTATATATTTTTTCTTTTAATTCTTTTGCAGCAGCTTTAATAAGAAGCTACCAACCAGAATCTTTGAGATTATTGAGGAAGTATGTAAAATAATAGAAAAAATATTATCAGTGTTAATGTATAAATTTTTTAAATTATCAATGAATCAAATCATAATAAATTATTGTAAGTAAATATTAATCTTTAAAATAAATTTATTTATTAATAAATTATTATTATTTAATTAATTGATAGTATATAAAAATTTATATATTAATAATATATTAAATATAAACTCTTTGTGACGAGAGACAATATTATAGAAAAAAACGGCAAATTAAACTTTCATTTGGATGATCATTGCGGAAGAATTCTCATCGTGCTATCCAGTTGTTTCCACGTCGGATCCTTTCTTTTACCATCTGAATGAAACCTGAAACAAAACAATTGGGTCTTATCTTTCAATTTATTTGTTTTCCCTTAATTTTAATGGCTGGTGCTAATTAATTTGTTTTCCTTAATCATTTCATAAAGTTAAAGATTTTATAAATGAATTATTCATATATAAATTCTATATGGTATTAATATATTATATAATAATATTTTATTAAAAAATTAATTTTAAAGTCTTAAAAATAAATATATTTAATCTTTAAAATATATTTAAAATTAATTTTTTAATAACGTGTCATTATACAATTCCTAACAGTTTCTAATAGTATATAGCGATAAAATCATAGTGCATAAGATATAAACTTCAAATTTAAGAGAAAAAAAAATAATTGGCCGGAAGTTTCTTAAAAGTACGCCGGCTTAAGCTCTGTAAATCACTACTCGTTTGGGTCATAAAGCTTCGATGAGTCCACTCGGCAGCATCTCCCCTGATAATACATCGTCCATACTAGTAGACTGTGGGTCTTAGGCCTCCCATAGAGTTGACTTCAACCAGATTGGTTGGCCTGCATTGTTATCCACGCAAACCATCTTTTCCGACGATTAAGCTCTAAGGTTTTGGGTGTGGAGAAGATTTAAAGACTTCAAAACCAACGCAAGATCAAATCCTAAATATGAAATCTTTTCCAACAGAACGACAGTCTCAATCCAAAAAAAAAATAATAATAATAAAGAAAAAATAAAGAACAGAGTTTTTATATATTGGACAAAGATTGTGGTTATGAGCCTGGCTTCCTTCTGTAATACGGCTCTGTCGCTGGGGTGAATTTGAAATCTTGCTTTCTGTACTTAGTAGGGATAATTGCTGTTTAGATTTTCATATGAAACCTAAATTTTTTTGCAGTCCATTGGATCTAGCAAAGTGGTGTACATTCTTCATTCACCCCAACAGTTTGGTAAGAGGGGGGAAAAATATTGCACCCAATAAACAAACCTGTCCGGTGTCCAAGCTTATGAACAACATTTTCTTTCTCTTAACAGGAAACCTTTCGATGGGTCACTTACAAGAAGATCAGAAAATCACCACTTCCAAAGAGAAAACTTGCACGCGGTTTGACACATACTCACAAGGACTTGCATGCTCTTGCTTGACATAGTTTCCTAAAGAGTGCTATTATTTGCACCTCAAGTTCTTTTTCACACCTCATTATTATTAATATCCATTAATTTTTCTCTTCACATCATAAATTAAAACATAAATTTATTAAAAAATTCAAGCACTCATTTCCTCGCACTCCTCATCTTCTTCAACCGAAAATCCTAAACTTTTGAAAGATTAAATCCCAAATCAAGTTTCAATCACCCATTTTATGTTAGATTAACTTAAAATAAAAGATAAATCGTTTTTTCTTTTATTTTTTCGTTAGATTTTGTATTTAGTTTCAAAATATTTAAGATTTTAAGTTTTAAGGTGTGATTTGAAATATGATTCAAGTATTTCGAAAATAAATTTTTAAAAATTTTTAAAAATAGATATTCAGAACTTTTTCGATGTACCAATTTATTTTCGAAATCTCATAAAAGTTTCCAAATATTTATTTTCGAAAACCTTTAAAAAATTTTGAAAGTATATTTTCAAATTTTCTCAATGGTTTTTAAACATTTATTTTCGAAATCTTTCAAAAAATTTTGAAAATAAATTTTCGGTACACAATAATTTGGCACCATAAAAAATATTAACCTTGACAATATCTATCAGCAGATTGATAAATTCAACAATAGAGATCTTTAATCTTTTATCCGCCAAACACTGTCTATTTAATAACATTTATAATATTTTTACAATTCTGACAAATTTACATATGAGAAAAATCACTAAATATGAAAAGGTGTTCGTGCAAGTTGGCTCCTGCACCATGTGCGATGAAACGTGATGCTCATCGCATATGGTGCAATATTCATTTGTACCAATATCTTTTCATAATTGTCGATTCTTTTGAGATACAAATTTGTTAGAATTGAAAAAATATTATAAACAATATTAAATGGGTAGTATAATTGAAAGATTATAAATTTTTATTATCAAATTTAAATAATCCAATATCAAAAAATCATTAGAGATTCATTGGGATCACAACAAAAAATATTAGATATTCTCATCTCGAACGCTAATTAAGATATTGTAGTAAAAAAATTGAAGTAAAAGAATGCTTACAGAAATGAAATTATGGATAATCATAATGTTTTTTGAAAATATATTTTTGAATAATTACAATACTTTTGAAAATTAATTTTTAGATAATTGGGAAAAATATTGCACCCAATAAACAAACCTGTCCAGTGTCCAAGCTTTTGAACGCCATTTGCTTTCTCTAAACAGGAAACCTGTCGATGGGTCACTTACAAGAAGATCAGAAAATCACCACTTCCAAAGAGGAAACTTGCACGTGGTTTGACACCTACTCACAAGGAAACACTCATTTTCTTCAACCGAAAATCTTAAACTCTTAAAAGTTTAAACCTCAAATAAAGCCTTAATCACTCACTTAGAATGAGAGGTAAATTTTTTTTTTTTCGTTTAATTTTACGTTTAATTTCAAAATATTTAAGATTTTAAGTTTTAAGGTTCAATTTGAAATGTGATTCGAGTATTTCAAAAATAAGATTTTTAAAAATAAATATTCAAAAAAAATTTTAACATACCAAAAATTTATTTTCAAAATCTCATAAAAGCTTTTGAATATTCATTTTCGAAAACTTTTAAAAATTTTTGAAAGTATATTTTCAAAAATTTTTAATGATTTTTAAACATTAATTTCCAAAATATTTTAAAAACTTTTGAAAATGAATTTTCAATACACAATAATTTAGCATCGTAAAGAATATTAACCTTAACAATATTATCAGTAGATTGATAAATTCGATAATAGAGATCTTTAATTTTTTGACCGCCAAACACTATCCGTTCAATAACATTTATAATATTTTTATAATTCTGACAAACGTATATTTGAGAAGAATCATTAAGTATGAAGAAGTGTTCGTGCAAGTTGATTATTGCTTTACGTGCGATGGAATATGATTGTCTCATCGCATATAATGCAATAGTCATTTATACGAATATCTTTTCATAATTATCAATTTCTTTCATATACAAATTTGTTAGAATTGAAAAAATATTATAAACAATAATGAATGGATAGTACAATTGAAAGATTAAAAGTTTTTATTATTGGATTTAAATAGTCTAATATCAAAGAAATTATTAGAGATCCATTTGAAAATCACAATAAAAGATATAAGATATTCTCATATCAAACACACTGATCAAGATATTGTAATAAAAAAATTGAAGTAAAAAATTACTTACGGAAATGAATTTTTGAATAATTATAATGTTTTTGAAAATATATTTTTAAATAATTACAATACTTTTTGAAAATTAAGTTTTAAATAATTGTAATGCTTTCCGGAATGTATTTTTCTATATAATAAAGAAGTTTTCAGATAAATTTTCAATGACTTACTATGTGAAGGATAAAAAAATAATTAATTAATAAATATTTAAATAAAATTTTGAGATGTATTTAAAATTTTTTTGAGGTGCAGATAGCGCTTCTCTTTTCGGGAAATAATATCTTAAAGTGACCAACGATTATAATCAAGGCCGCGTGTCAATACGATGGAAACATGTTCATGGTTATACAAACCAGTGCCAGAGAGACAAATCAAAGCCGTATAAGGTTGAAGATTCCCTGTTTATTTGAAGAAAAGTTGTTGTCTAATTTTGATTTTGGGTGTCTTAATTGACTGACATAGGAAGATTTTGTTGCTTTCTTATGAAATTCCTTCATAAACAGTGGATTGAAGTCCCCAAGGGGAGCAAATTCCGTTTCAATTGTCAACTTGTGATGGTAGAAAACACCGAGACCGGTGACCCTGATCTGATATAGAATATTAGCTTTAGGCCAGCCTGTTAAGATGAGATTGGTTTTGCTCGTTCACCTGTTTTGTTAGGCATTATTATGTGTGTGAGTCTCAGTTGGTTACATTGCAATGAAAAGAACCCCAAACCAGAAAGTCTGAAAGAATAGAAGATGGGTTACTGAAAGTCTTGGTCGGCTGCCCATGTCAACAAAATACTTTGAAGTTTGAAGTGGACAGTTCATTGGTGTAAATATCCTTAAGCTAGGACATAGATGATGAATCATTGCACAATTCTCACTTCGAAATAAAGAGTTTTTTTGAATATATAAGAAAAGAAAACCAAAAAATTGGAAAAATAAATGTCAAAGTGGGTTATTATTGATTCCATTAATGCTGAATGTTCTTCTGAATTGGTCCTTCTCGATCTCTTTCTGATCTCTATCTTAGAGGGAAAACGTGTTTGAAGAGAATATAACTAATGGGTCTCTCTTCATTGAAAAACGTGTTGGAAAAGAGAACCTACATTGCACATAATGATATTTTCCAGTCTATAATGCTATGAACTTTGAGTGTTTGATGATGTCTACAAATTATATTACAAATTTACTGGCAATAGTATTGAATCAGGCAAAACTAACCCCAAAACCAAATTTAGAAGTTCACTTTGGAATAACCTGCCAAAACCTGCTACATCTTACATGGTTTAAGCTTGATTAAAACTACCAGAGCACCCAAGGTAGAATGATATCATCATCTGATTATATAGACCATCTTTGCATAAACCAAAGCAATCACTCATGAGGATTTGGATCACTCATCTATTGTTCTCTTCAATGTTAGTATATTATGCAGACCAAGTGACCAACACCCTAGGGAACAATGTCTCCACCATGCTGGCCTACCAAGGACGACTGGAATGCAGAAAAACAATGACTACTAGCATTCAAACAACTTAAGATGATTTGGATACAAAAATAATATGCCGATGGGGTCACTGGTCTCACCATCTCTGTTTCGTCTTTATATGTTTGACAGACATCAACGGATGGGAAACAGTGAAGTCTATCTTGAATTTCTCTTTCTCACTCATTTTATGGTTCATATTTTCGTCCTTTCCTTATGAATCCGTAAACGTAACAACTACTTGAAAGAAGAAAAAAATGGAATCTTGGAATTGGATATCATCTATGCATAAAACACAAGAATCCCATTTTCCAACGCAAAGAATATGTGAAATCTAGACAACATGAGATTAAAAAAACTTTTTTTTTTCAATCCCATCAAAATTGCCTCTAGAAAAAGAGGCATAACAGGTTGGTAAAAAGTTCTGTCTTTCACAATTTTTGGAAGGAAATGAAATAAATACAGCTTAACCACCATAGGTTGGTCTTACTATAGCCTATAAATTTCTTTTTCCATAACCTTCTCAACCTTTGAGAACAGCTGTTAGACAGAGAAACATAAGAAAAATGTTTCTTTTCTTGAAATCCTTGTCAAGATCGGTCCATGAAGAACATCAAGAACAGCCAGAGTTATCCAAAACCAAAGGTGATCTGTGCACATCACTAACAGTGTGGAGAAAATCACTTATAATTAGCTGTAATGGATTTACTGTGATTGATTCTGATGGAAATCTAGTTTATCGAGTTGACAATTACATGGCACGCCCCAAGGAACTCATTCTCATGGACGGCTCAGGAAAATCCATCCTGACAATGCACCGTAACAAGGTACTATATCATCTTTGTATAATTCTCGCAAGATTTCATCTACACTAATACATGTATGCATAAATAGTAGTAATATGGAGCTAAATTTGTCATTTTCATGGACAGAACCTTGGATTGATAGATACTTGGCTTGTCTATGGAGGGGAAGTAGGTGATTATTGCACATCAGCAAAATCATCAGAAAAGCCAATTTTCTATGTAAAGAAGTGCATTAACATTTTACATGGCAACCCTAACGTGCTAGCATATGTATATTGCCAGTCATCGGACAAAAGGTATGCTTATATGATTGAAGGATCATATTCGCATAGATCTTGTAAAGTGGTTGATGAAACAAAGAGGATGGTGGCAGAGATCAGGAGAAAGGATGCAATAATTGGAGGCATTTCTTTCGGCCTAGAGGTTTTTATGTTGATTGTACAGCCAGGATTTGATCCTGGATTTGCAATGGCTCTGGTTATTTTGCTGGATCAGATGTTCTCTTAGGTGTTCAATTTTTTTGTTGTGAGAATTAATCATTCATGTTTTCAACCCAAAGCTGCCATTGTAATGATCAGCTACTACAGCAGCAAATACCATGTAAATATTCATAAACAGCGACTTAACAGAAAAAGCAATGAATTAAAATTGAATGAGACCATTTTCCATTTTACTATAACTTGTGAAAACCAGCTCAACCTTGATTAGGCATAGAAAAACAAATTCGAAAGTGGCTACTCCTATCCATTATCAACAGCATATGCATGCTGAACCAAATACATAGGTCCTCTGTTTTGTCATTTTAAGCAGTTGACAATGGTGGAATTATGGCCTGTTCCACAAAAGTTCCCACTCGTACTGGTCAGGAGAGGCTTATACTTCAACCTGGATTTAAGAAAACGAGGCCCAAAAGCTGAAAGTAAGAGAAACTGAAATTTCTATTGCCCCATCAATTGCTTGTTCTACACAAGGCAAAGAATTCCCTACCGTACAACTATCCTTGATGTTACAACAAATGAAATACTCGGCTTCTATTGCAACAAAGCCTCACAAGTATTGCATTCCACCTATAACACAATATATACAAATAAACCGGGAACGCTAGTAACCTCACAGAGTGGCTGATAAATTGCAATAATTGTTGAACGAAACTTCTACATTGAAAAAAAAAAAACTTTATTAGTAAAGCCCATCTCTCCCCTTCTTCCAGTCCACTGGCATTAGTTTACGCAGCTTCTGTTGGCTGCTGCGAGGCTTATCCGAAGCCGTTGGTGGTGGCTGCATCGTACATGGTGGCTTTACTACATTGGCAGTTGAATGTTTTATTCCCACGGTTGAGTCTCTTAATGATTTGCCCGGGGATAATCTACTTGATCTAGGCGTAGACCAAGCTATTGGTCCTTTTCTAACACCATTGATATGACTGAGATCTTTCTTATTCTCAACTACAGAGAGCTTAGGCCTTTTTGAGGGAATTGTCTGGCCCACATCACTTCTCACTAGTTTGTCAGATCCCAATACTGAAGAAGGCGTTGCATATATTTCCTCAGGTTTCTCAATTGATTTTGTCTTTCGAGCTGTCATGGCCTTTTGTGAAGGCTTCTTTGGCCACCTTGTAATCCCATCTGGGTTTTGCCTGAAGGATTTAGTCGCAATGTCACATAATGTTTGAGCGGCAGTCAATAGTCCTGGACAGTGCCAAACTATCACCAAAAAGAAAACCACAAATTAGAAATGACAGACAACTGAAATGGCAATAAATTTGCCTATATTCATATAGGAGAATGATAACTAGAAATCTCACGCCACGTGGCCCATATTTCAACCTAAAGCTACTCGGTCCTTAGAATCTAAGACTAGATAGCCAGAACCAGAACAAGTACACTGAATTCCATTTTGGAAGATTTCTATCATTCAGTTCTTTATCCCAAAATGAAAAAAGTTAAAAAAAAAGGGAAATGCGTGCCCAGGGAGGCTGGCAGGATTCCTAAGAAGAATCATGTGAAACTAGCAACTTGATCCAGAAACTAAGATACTCCTGGAAAACCAAGTAAAAGAGTCCTTCAAAAGAGATCAGTATATCTATAGCAAACAAACCAACTACCAAACAAGGAGAAAGATAGTTGGTACTAGGGATTGCATTCTCTTTTCTATGTACTATTCAATAAAAAAAACGAGAGTGAGGTGCAGGAGAGCTCTAGATAATAGTAAACCATACCATTCCATTGTTCTGCCAGCCCAAGTCCAGATTCTGCAAATTCAAGAAAAGAATCCCTCATTAAGCCAAAAAGGTTGACAGAGAAAGACCATGAAGCTACCCCTACAAGAAATTCTTACCTTGAGGAACATTAAAAGCCTTGGTATAAGTTGCAAGAGATGATGCACCTTGCTCATAGAAAGGTGGATTACCAGTGGATGAAGCACTACCACCTTCCGAATTACCAAACTTTGAACCTAAAGGAATTAGGCTTGGATCATAAGCAAGTGACTCCAAGTTGGTAAAACAACCAGTTTCAATCCCAAGAGAACTGGGAGTGTTAGGTATTTTTACCCATCGGCCTTGACACGTGCTCTTATTTGATAAAAGCTTAACAGCATCAGAATTGGTTCTAAACCCATTAAAAGTATGTGACCAGGGAAATGGTGGCAACCTAGCTCCGCGGACTATTTGCTTGCCTGAGCGAGTATCAGAATTGTTCCTTGTCGATGAAGAAGGCTTGGTTGCATCAAGAAGTAAAGAGTCCAAATCTTTTGGGGGAGGCAATGCCAAGCGCTCCAGAATATCCTTAGGCCGACACAATGGAAAATCTGGAGGACTGGCAGGCATTTCAGGCTGACCATATGAATCCTGGGTTAGGAACAAGATAAAAGTACAAACTTAATCACTAACTTGTCAGCATCTACAATGAATTTAAACAAAAAAAAAAAAGTGCTTCCAGTTGGGCCTAAGACTTCAAGGCATGATAAAAAAGGTGTAATACGCATTACAGCTTTCAATAGGATCAGTATATGAACTTCAGAGAATGGAATGGATCTAGTCAAATGACCTTGACACAATGAAAAGTTACAAAATGAAAACAGATAAATAAAAAGGGAAAAATGAAAATTGCTAAAGGCTCCTGTCAATAGGGAGAAAGTATTTTACTAAGTATCAATACGTATCAATATTTTAACTTCATTTATAGTTGCATTTTAGGATCATGCATGTTAGACTTTTGCTCAAAAACCACCTTGTTGCATGGTGATGGGTCTATAGAACAGATGTCTTCTTTATCACCATTAACACAACTTGGCGCTACAGAAACAGAGCTTGGTGGGTAAATGGACATTTCCTTGTTAGAAGAATTGTCTATATCTGTAAAATTTTGGGACTGAACCCTTTGAAGTGGAATAATGGAGCACGCCTTTTTAACTGAATGTAGAAAATTTTCAGTTGTGTTAGCTGCTTTCCTGCTTTTCTCCTTGCTTAAAATGGGTTGCTCATAAGTGCCATCAAGGAGTTCATTTAATGATAAATCCTCCATGAGCTTGGTGACATCTTGAATGTCTGACTTCAGACCATATAATCCTGAAATTGATGCCCAAAGGTGAATGATGTATAAAACAGAAACACAGGATCGGTAGCTAACTTTAAATTAAATGAGTAGAAATTATTCATGCAGCCAGTTGTCAACAAATTGGTGAGACTCTTTTAGCATATCCAAACCCAACAACTGTGATAAACATTTCTTATATGCTAAATATAGCGTAATACACTAAAAAATACATGTATGTTAGCAAAACCTTTTTTGGTAACAATCACATACCAAGGAAGTTGTTCCCTCCAGAGGCCATATTAAAGCTCCCCAAACCTGCCTTCATTGAGAAAGAGTCAAATTTTGGCTTCATAGGAACTTTAAAATTTCTCCTATCACCCCGCTTGCCACTAAAGCTGTTCTTTTGTCTTGAAATTTGAGTTTTATCTGGAATGTAACAAAAAGGAAAAAACAGACAATCAGCATAATCTCCAACATATTGCAAGGATAATCCAGAATCTACTTCTAAGTTTCTATTTCTAATCTTGTTGTCTTCAGTAGGTGACATGCAGGATGTGCAGTCCATTTAAACCAGTCTCATAAATTTTAGCCATTCAGACTTGGCATAAGTGTTAAGTACAATCATCATCATTACAAATTAACAATAACAATAAAATAATTAAACGAGTCTGTTCATTATTAAATAGGCCAAGTTGGAGCCAGGAAAAGAAGACCACATGCTAAATTTTCATCTAGTACCTAAGCAATAAAGCAAATTATTTAGGAGCATGACATTGACAAATCAACCAGAGCAATTAATTCCACAAGAATCATTCAAGATGTTTTTCCATCAAAACATAGGACTACAATAGAATGTGGAATTAAAGTTACTGATCATAATTAGAGGTCAAACTTTACACTACAATTGGACAAGTAAGAAAGGGCATTATTACAGTAATATCACTAGCAGAGAGAGAAATCTTCTGTTTATGTAGGCTTGACTTTTATCACCTTGTAGATAACATAAAGGGTCATTATCCAAATAAGACTCCACAAAAGGTGGGAACCTGAGGCAGGTGATCCTAATAAGCTCCTATCCTTACTCCAGTAAAGCAGCCACTCCCATTGTTTAAATTGATGCACTTACACTTGTTGATGCAAGGTTTTTACAATTGAATAAAATAAAGCTCTTGCCTCATTAAAACATGCATCCTTCAAATATAAATTCTAAAGGTGCCTCACAACCTTTAAAGAGGAGAGCCAGATTTTCTAAGCATCAATTGGTTAAAAGCGTCTTGCCAAATCTAAGTGATACAACACCAATTTAAGTGAAACAAGATTAATCAATTTAAACATTATTTCTGTAAAACTTTCCATTGTGTCCCCCACGATGGTGGAGGTAATCGAAGTGATTATGTGATATGCACACAAACTTAGGCAAAAACAAGGATACTAGCCAACACTGCAATTTCAAACTAAATAGCATTTGTTACTATACCAAACATTAGACTCCAAGGTTATTCCCGCTACAAAATAAGGAGCCACATATGTGGAGACTAAACATGCAAAGAAAGAATGATATAAAAAATAGCACAAACCAGACAACTGTATCATTTAAGTAGACTTTCAGGGGACAAAAACATTCTCAATGATCTGACATTAAAGTGTGCTGACATAAATCTACATTAAATTAATGTACTACTTCCAAAAAGGGGAAGAAAAGGTACAACCTGGAAAGTTACATTTTGTAGAATAAGACCCTAGCTTATCATTTATATCCTTTATATCATCAACTCCAGCTGAAGTCATAGTGTCTTCTAGTTGAGCAACACGTGCTCTCTTAGAACGTCCACTACTACTCCTCGGCATTTTTCCAGCTTTCCTTTGTGTATTAACAGCATCAGGACCAGGATTTGATAAGTGACAATTGGTGCCCTTGTGATCATGCTGTTCAGACAGTTCTTCTATCTGACAGCTGGACAGCAGACTAGCATGCCTACAAAGTTCAGCATCAGGAACCATACCCCATGAAGCCGACTCTATATCATTAAGAACCATGGTCTCATCTGCAAAATCAGATTTTATTAGAACACATGTCAAAGATGAATTTCAGTACAAAAGATTAGACACTGATGACCTACAAATTGAGAATGGAAAAGTTGGGATAACATCCCAACCATATAAACTGTATGAACAAAAGACAATAAGCACCACAACAAATTATTGAAGTGCAAAAGAAAAAGTAACAAAGTATTGAAGCAAGCGAACAACGTTCTAAAATTGGCAGCATATTTTCCACCGTGTAGACAGTTACTCCTATATCATCACAAACAGTTTTTTTTTTTTTTTTGCTAAAAGAAGAAGAATAACAGTTACTGCAGGAGTGAGGCAAGGGGAAGTCTCATCTGCCATCTGTAGAAGGATTTATTTTATTACAACCACTACTAAAGAATAAACTAAAAACAGACAACTCTCTACTTTCCTTGAAACCCATGAGATATTCTCCACTATAATTACCAAAGAAAGGATTAAAAACAACTAAAAAAAAAACTCACAGCTTCACTAATTATCCTCATTTTCCATTTTTGGTTTTTTTTTATTGAATTTTTTATCCTCTACTGAGACCATTGTTTTTGCTTCCCTAGAATAAATTACATAAGCTGAACAAAAAATTTCTCCATTTCTGGTATTAAGAAAGAAATAAAAGAAAAAAAAAATTAAAACTCCTAACAAAATAAAAGAAAAGAAAAAATAACCAAAATAATTAAAAGAAAAAAAAAGAGTTAAAAAGTATGGACCTTTATGTTTAAGCGAAGAGGTACAACAGTCAATCGAAGAATTAAGAAGCGGCTTACAATCTTCACTAACCCTAGCCCCTCTTCCAAACCCTTCAGACCCCATAAGCTTCGAAATGTCAAACCGGATAATTCAACTCCAGCGCATCCATCCAAACACCCCACCACCCCAACCAAAGAAAAAGGAATGAACTTTGCACTCGATCGAAGAAAAAAGAAAAAAAGAACGCCAAGAAACAACGGTGTTTCGGGTGAGGGATTCAGAGAAGTACAATCGGTCAAAAGGGAAGAAAACGACGGTGTCGGAGGAAGAGAAAGGGGAGATGAAGGGAGCAACAGGGAGGAAAGTGGAAGGAAACTGAGTATTTGGGAGAGGAAATCATGGTCGCGGCTGAAACGTTAGAAGAGGAGTCGGTTGGAAATTTTAGGGCAAAATGCAAAGGAAAGTGAGAGTGACAAGTATTTATAGTTTTCGGGAAAAGGTAGGACTTTTGGTCTCTGTTGTGGAAAAATTACCCGTCGGTTGGGGCCTGGGAGCCTTTAGGGTATATTCCGGTGAGGCCATCTCCACACTAACATCTCTTTTCTCCGCTCAACGTCCTGACATGGCATTATCCATTCAATTATGTTCATCCGATGAGGCCCACGAGAAAAGTGTTGCAATTAAGAGCCAATAGTAACATAACACGTTTCTAGTCAAGTCTATCGTTGACTAAAGATTTTACGTTAATGACCTCCTAAGTCGGTAATTGGACGGGTTTGTGACACCATGTGAGCGTCACTACTGTAGGAACACTCAGTTTGAGCGTTTTGTAGTGATATTACAACTATACCCCTCTGAGAAAGTAATTTAACCCTGTCATGCTCTCCTCCTCTTTGAACTCTGACAAAGCCAAAAGAAACAAACGAAACGCATTCTCTGAATAAGTGGAATCTATTGTTTTCTGGTTCAGTTTGAGAAAAGAGGTGTTGTTGTTTCAGGGTTTTTGGTATTCTGGATGAGAATTTGCTTGATGACATCACAACGAGGCTGGCTGGTGGCGGCCAAGAATGGGAGGACCACCAGGCAAGTTCAGCTGACGGAGGCTGAGAAAAGGCAGCTTTGTGTTGCCTCCAAAGAGAGCTTTCTTTGTGAGCCTAATCTTCTTGAGCTTGAAGCTCCTATCAAGATTTGTGGTAATAATGAGTAGCTTAATTTATACAATTGATTATTGTTTTTCTTTTGGGGGTATTTTTCATTGCTTTCTTGGGGGGAGAGGGGTAGGTTTTAGTTGATTGTAATCATTGAAAGTGTTAATCTTGAACATGTATGGATGTAAGAATTTGCAAATTTATACCCAAATTTCTAGCCTCTGTTTGTAATAGAGTTTTTGAGGTGAAGGGTAAAAGATGCTATGGACTTGGAGGAAGGAATAAAGAAACAAATAGGAAAAAGTAGGAAGGTTGTGAAGCGCAGTAAAAGTGTAGTCCAAACTGTTAATTGAATTGTTATTGGCAATGCAGTATTGGGAGATAACAACCAAGATACTTGATTGGTTTAATCACAGGGAAAGCCTTTGCAGCACGAGAATATTATGCAAGTGCTTTGTTTGGTAGCCTTGGATTTTCAAATGTGAGTTTTGCATTTAGTTATATACAATTTTTGCCTAAGATTTAATCTCACATGTATCTGGTATATCATTGTTGCTTTGGAAGCATCACTTGGCTCAACTATGTTATAGCTAGTGCCTAGTTGTATGGCATTATCCATATGACATAATGAGATGATACTTTAGACTTTCAAAAGTTATTGGGTTTATTATTTACCAATTAGTGTGTTTATGATGCCAGTTTTTGTTGTTGAACTTTGGTTGTCTTGTGGTCATAGGCAGAACTTTTCTTTACCGACGGTCTCAATTTCAAATGTTGTTGACATTTTGTCCTATCAGGAAGTTAAAGTAGTTGTATCCCCCATGCAGTGAGAATAATAAAAGCACTTCTGGAAAGTCTTGTTTTCACTGTGGTATTAAGGGAAAGTTCTACGAAGCGAAACTTATGTGATGAGACTAATGGCATCATATGAAGGTTCTAGAATCGCCATTGTTGTCTTAATCTTTAGATGGAGGCTTGGAGCTTGAAATGTCTTCGTGTTTAAAATAAGACTTGAAGGTTGCACCATTCAGTTTAATCTTTAGTTGGAGGCTTGGAGCTTGAAATGTCTTCATGTTTAAAATAAGACTCGAAAGCTGCACTATTCAGTTTATTTATTTGTTCCTTTACATCCTTCCATAAAATTGGACATTTTCCCTTCTGTTTCATTCTTTTCTTCTCTTCAGTATTTATGTTTCTCTGTACAAGTGTTTGGGTGGGGTGTCCAGTAAGTTTGTTACCATCCATAAAACATATACGAAAGGGTTCATCAAAGTTTGTGATGGTTCTTGGTGAGCCTCCAAGTATTAGAGTGTTGCAGAAGCTATTGAGCCTTAAATGAGATCTTTGTGGTCTTTTCAGTTTTTATAGGATCTCACTCTCACTCAGTTATTTTAAGGCCTTTTAACTGAGTCCTTAAGGTCTATCTTGCAAATGTTTGGCCCCCAAGGGACTTGGACTTCTCCAAGTTGAGTTTATCTTCCGTTTAATACCACACTACTTGATCTTCATTAACTATATCACAAACATGCTTGGTGTGCATATGCTGGCTTGCATGTATATAATTCTATTCCTTTTGTTTTAGCACGTTTTAACAAATTGATATGTAATATCTGCTTTTCGATTCTTATTATGTTGGCAGGAGATGTTCATGTTCAATTTTCAGATCTTTTACTCTTGTTTGAGTATGGTGGGTACCCTCCTGCAGCAAACTATTTATTCCTAGGTGACTATGGTGATTGTGGCAAGCAAAGCATTGAGATAATTTGTCTTCTCCTAGCATACAAAATCAAATACAAAGAAAACTTTTTTTCTTCTTAGAGGCAACCATGAATGTGCACAATCAGCCGTATATATGGGTTCTACAATGAGTGCAAGGAGGTTTAGTGTGCATGTCTGGAAGATATTTACAGACTGCTTTAATTGCCTGGCTGTTGCTGCTCTAATTGATGAGAAGATCCTTTGCATGCAATGTGGATTATCTCCTGATTTGAAAAAAATTGGATCAGATATGGATCATTGATCACCCTGTTTATGTGCCAGATCAGGGCCTTCTCTGTGATCTTTGGGCTGACCCTGATAAAGATGCTGAAGGCTGGGGAGAGAATGATAGGGTTATGTCATAGACATTTGAGGCTGACAAAGTTTCTGAATTCCTTCAAAAACATGACCTCGGTCTCTTTTGCCGAGCTCACCAGGTATCATTTGCATTAGCCTTCCTAATTGGACTTGCAGCTTACATGTATGGAAGGTTTCACATTTCTTTGCTGAAGTTGCATTACTTGATGGTATAATAGGCAATTTGGGAACCATGTGAGAACTGAAGAGTTTAGTATATCATTATAGATTGTTTCTTTGCATGTCAGTAGATGCACTTATCTCCATGTTCTTGGAACCTTCCTATTACTGCCTGTAAAATATCGTGGGCACCCCTACTAAATTCTTGTAATTAATTTTTGTATATTGTCAAAATAGAAACATGTGCATCCGTGTTTTACTTTCTTACTGAATTGTAAATATTTCTTAATTTTTTTTATATATATTTTTATGCTTCATTCAGGCTGTGAAAGATGGTTATGAGTTCTTTTCTAAGCGGAAACTGGTAACCATATTCTCTGCATCAAACTACTGTGGTGAATTTGATAATGCAGGTGCCCATTTATGTGACCAACGTTTGATAGAATCTGCTGAAGGGGGTGAGATTTCATTGGATAAAGAATCTCAGGACAGGAAGCCTCTTAAGTGTAGTGTTGTTATTGTTGATTCGTGTACGCTTACCATTGTTCAAATTGTTTTTCGTGGGAATTTGTCCATTGGGCCTTTGAAGTTTATGGATGATGTTGTCACTCTTAGGCCGGACCACAACTTACATTAATGCAGCATATGTGAGTGCAGATGCTGCTTTGCCTGATGAAACCAAGCAGGAGCTTCTGCAACCACTTCAGATTAACACAAGCACAAACATGACTGATTATATGTAATTTACAAGAACTGCATGCAATTGAAACCCCTTCAATTTCCAGTCATGGGATTAATATTTGCCATAAGGATTTAAAAAAACCCACAAATAAAAATTTAACAATTAATTAAATTTCTAATGTTTTATTACAATCAATTGATTCGTACATCTTTTATTTTGGATCAATTAAATTTTTAAATATCTATTTTCATCAAATTAAATCTTTAATTATTTATTTTTACTCAATTAAATATTTGATTAGATAAAAATAATTAACCATTTTTTCTCTAACAAAAATTTAATTGATGAAAATAAATATTTAAAAATTTAATTAATTAAAAAATAAAAATTTAAATAATTATTAAATTTTAGTTAAGTGATTTTCCTTTTGCCTAAATAATTTAAACTTCTAGAGATCGTATACCCTAACCCATTTACGCGATTGTAAAACATCTTAGAATTAACAAGCATGACGCATCTTTTTTTGACTTTTTCAAACCAAATCATAAGCCAAAAATTAAAAAGTCAAAGCCAACTGTATCTAATCATCAATAACCAAACCGTGAAGAACTAGAATTACATGATTGTATATAAAAATGTGCAAGATTTCCGGTTTGCTCGAGTTCGTACGGAAAAAGTTAAAACATAATTGATAGAAATGATGGAAGAAGAATCATCATAGAATAAACTGCGGATGACACAATATACAAAAGCATGCTGGATGCCTCCAAGAAAAGCTTATCCTATTTAAATAATATTATTATATTTTTTTTAACTGTTGTTTTCAATTAGGTCAGGTGGGGCGCGGATAATTTCTGCATTATTTTTGCACGAAAAAAGTTTTCCGAGAAATATATTGCAAGTTGGTTTTAGCTTAATTGGGTATTCCTAATAAAATATTCCTTCTTTCCAATTTTTTTCTTTTTTTTTAGGTTTTAAAATTATATTTTTTTAATCCTTAAATCTATTGTTTTTTATATTCTAAAATTTTTATAATTTTTTATTTTTATCTTTAAAAATTATGAACATCAAATTCATAAAAAGATAAAAATTTAATATTATATATACCAAAATTAAAAAAAAAAAATTTCTTAAAGTTCGTCAAAGTAGGGAATAATTAAATTAACCGACACTAATTGCGAATTAAAATTATAAGCAACTGTAAAATTGGTCAACTCTGATTTTCTTGACATTCAACATTTACTGTAGCTCATTTCCTTTTGTTTTCGTCATGTTGACTACAGATTGGTTCTAAATTATCAAGCTAGGTTTCAAATTTCGGCCACCTCCTCTCAAACCCTAGGCAAATTTTGGTGTTTTCTTTCTTTTTTTTTTTTTTATCTTTTAATTTCTCTTCCCTTAGTCTATCTAACCAGTAATTCAAAATCCCATGCGTTCACTCACTTCAATGTTTTAATCACATAAATATATGCAAAATTACATTTTTTATTTTATAACAAAAAAGTTGATGATGTGTGTTGAAGGAGAAAATATTATCGTTAAGAATCAAGGATTAGAATATGATTTATAAATAAGGGTTCATTTTTTTTTTATTGAGACATCTTTAAAAAAAAAAAAAAAAAAATTTGGGAGCATGTAATGATCAAATATTTGATGTAATTCAACAATTCTCACATAAGTAACTAAAGATTTAATCAATGCACATTAAACTTTTGGACTTAATTGACACTTTAAGAAATATAAGAACGAAATTAATGTTTAAATCAAACCTTAGACTTGGACACGACAAGTAAAACTATACAAATACTATCTACTGTCAAGACGTGTCTGGTGGGCTAAATGGAATTGCTTGGTTGGTGGTATGGATTCTATATCTAATCCATAAATTTTTTGTTGTAATTAATTCCATTTATTTATTTATTGCCAACAATATTTCCATTTCATTTAGTGTAACCAAAAAAAATATTTTTTATGCATAAATCTAGTTTTTTTTATCACTATTATACTTGCAACCTCTTGCAAGAAGATGGATTACAGGAACTGAAAGTGCCAAAAGAAAGGTTATATAAACAAAACCAAGCAAAAAAACGTGGTGCCTCTTAGAGAAGTGCAATTTTCTTGTTACATGGCTGGCTTTGTGCCCGGTCTAGCTACCTAAGAGGCTGCAAATTCATTCATGGACCATAATTCATGAGACAAATCGGGAAATTGGTCTGGAAAGAGACCCTCAAAATTCTCTAAGCTTTGAACTAGTTCGTCACTCAACATTATGTCTGGCGTGAGAATTTTGTCCCTTTGATCATCACCATCTTCAAGCATTTGTAATTCCTCCATTTTTATGCACTCTTGTTGCACGGACTCATCTTTAATGGTTGTTGGAGAAATAACTGTTTCTGCTGCTTCATGGGGTTCTTTTTTGTTGGCAAGAATTTTAGTTACTCCTGATGATGACTTGCTGCGAGTGCTTCCAGCAAGCGCGCTTCGGCGAGTTGGGTAGCCATGGCTGTGCTCAGCCGTGTAGGTTATGATAAAGATTCGAGGATCCGAACAGCTACGCTCTACTTGCTTTCTTGCCAAACATCCTTTTGAGCTGCTGCACCTGTAATAGCTCCTGTTTTTCCATTCAACCAAGCAAACAAGTTTATTCAATGACATGAAGATCAAAACTACCCTTCAAACTATCTAACTTTGATACCAAAGCAAAATTGAAAATGGGAAGAGAGATTTTTACCTTGGATATGGTGAACCCTTGATGGGTTTTTGTCCATATTTTCTCCAAGCCCATATATCCGATGATAGACCATCAGCTGTTACATGCTGCACCACTCTATTTTGTTGATTCCTCCGGCTGAAATATGTGAACTTTTCAACATCAATTGTTTAATTAACCAGAATAAACTTCGGGTTTCCAATTATGAAATTCTTACTTTGTAAACATAAGCACGAATTTACAAACCTGGATCTTTTAGGTTTGACTGATTCATTATTTGTACCAGAAATAGCAGGCTGAGAAACAGATTGCTGCCCTTTTTGATTCTCTTGTTCGTCCACATCTTGAGGGACTGGTAGGGAACTGGTAATGATGGTTTGTGTGGAATATGGATTCAACTCAGGATAAAAAGGCTTGTAAAGTTCCTCCAATTCATCTAAAATTGTAGGGTTTGTTCCAAAAATTTCTGGGAAACTCATAAGGTCTTCTTGTTGAAAACTCCAAGGATCAAAACTATATGGTGGGTCTTCCATGTCGGGGATACAGGCACCATTGCTGCTTCCTCCAACTACTGCTTGCAAATCCCAGTTCTCCATGTAGAATTCGCTCATCAACAATTGTTCTTATTCCATATATGAAAAATAGGAGAGATAGAAAGGAAAACTAGAAGAGAACAAACAGTGGTGGTGACTTGAGATCTGTTAGGGATTTGTGATAAAGAGATATGAGAGAAAATCTAAATCCGGGCCTTTGTCTATATAATGGTGAGAAAGAGAAAAGATTTGTTTACTTGAAATTAAGCAGCAATTCTGTAAGTTAGGTTTTTGCATTTCCACTGAGTTGACTTTTTGAAAAGTCAAATAGTTATAGTTTTAGGAAAGATAATATATTCAGCATTTTGTACAGTTTTCACTTGTGAAAATGTTGAATACAATTTCACTTCAGTCGGGGGGAAACAAACAGGCTGCCGCATTTGCTAAATGCTAAAGCAGTTTTCTATGAATTCATCTCTGATAAATAATCACTTGAAAATGGTGGATGTACTATGTATTAATATATGTTATTTAATTCACTTATCATGAACGCTGATAAACCTGTCACTTTCCTTTTCAACAACTTGAACTTATCTGATAAGATGGTTCGTAGGAAGATAAAATTTTAGGCAGAAATATTTTTATAATTGAGCATCAAACTTTTCCAGAAATTTTACCAAAGCAATATAGATATCCAAACTTGGAAATCTTATAATTATTATGATCAGAATGACTATATCACATACCCCATATGTCTCCAGTTTAGAGCTAGGGCATTGCCATGGTTGGTCCCCATATGAAACCATAGCCTCGTCTTTAATTTAAGCCCAACAACCTCTCTTTCCATTGTGGTCCTGTTTATAGAATTCATCAGCTTATATGTCCTGCCAATTCTTGTTCATATAAAACAATTGCTAACGGATCATAACTGGGGCCAAGATGAAAAATTCAAAGTCAAGCAATAAACTATGGAGTATATATATGATCAGTATCTGTCTTCATTCTGCAACTTGCAAAGTGCAAACAGATCTGTTAATACTCCATTTGTAGCCTGTAAAAGATTATGCACATATAGGCTTATGGGCCTTTAGCTATGAACATAATATTGAAGAAAAAATAAAGAAACAAATCATTACGTGAACTGAAGGAAAACTCAAAAGAATGGAGGCTTTTTGGACCACAAAAAGGGCCACTACTTCCACTACTACTTCTCATAAGAATATTTTTTTGGTCACTTTTGTCAACAACTTCATCCTCCCAGTTGAGATTCTACATCATTTTCCTAGGAAGCTACAAGTTTGAAAAATGAAAAATCTTGAAAGCTGTTTGTTTTAGTCTTTGGGGACTGTACCACGCGGAAAGGAGGGGGAAATTTCTGGCAATTGGGAAAACCAAACTGAATACACGAAACCGGATGATTCTCCAAGTCTTGGTCTGGTTTCGATTCAACATTTCCTGCTGGCTATATTCCTTCTTTATGTGATAAGCACTAATTTTTATATATAAAATATTAAAATAATGGATTTTTTCCCCTTTCACCGGTCAAGTTTGAGGAAAAAGGGCCATATCTCAAATTGGCAACCGACGTTTGACGAGAAATTCACGTAATAAACTCTTAAAATAGTGTTTTAATAATGTTTTATATTATTTATTTATGTTGTATCTATTTAATATTATACACGTGTAAAATATAAAATTTATCCTATTTTAATTTGTATTCCCACGCGAAATATAAAATATATATATTTTTTTCATATTTGAAATTGGCTTTTAATACTGTAAGATTTTGTTTCTTTTTCTACAATGAGGTAAGCATTTGCGACGCTTACAGCAATTGTTGTGGACAAAGCCCAATTGATGCGAGCCCGAAAGTAATAGGCCTTGAATGCTAACTCAAGGAGCCCATCAAGCCTGACCTTAAGCATACACGGGAAATAAAAAACTCAGAACTCATTTCCCGCCACTTCCTCAGAATCAACAAAAACAACGGACGGTTTCAACAAATGCTCCATGAAATTCTTCTCCGATCAACATCTCTGTTACGCCGACATCTTCCCTCCTCACGAGGTAATCCTTCTTCCTTGATCATATATCAGTTATTGATTTGACCCTGTTTCGTTTGTCTTAAAAGATCGGAATCTCTCTTTCAGGTTCGAGCCAGAATCGAAGTAGCCATCTTCAATTTCCTCAAGATCTTTGTGCTCTCCTGATCCTGCTATGCCCGATCTTTCTCTGGTAACTATAAATTTTCTCTTTGTTTGGTTTGTGGGAAATTTGAGTTGTTTTCTTTTCTTTTTGCAACTACGATATCAATAGGAAATCGAGTAATAGCAGTGTGAGTGAAGGGACCTTGACTGATGTTTCGTGGATTTTTCTGTCTCACTCCTTCAGTACAAGATCATTGATGAGGTCCAACGCTCCTTTTTATTCTTTTATTCTTTTGTTTTAAAATTTAATCGGTTCTTGATGTTATCCCTACTAAAAATGAAGTGTGGAAGGTTATGGAGATATGCTTTGAGATTCTGATTCAAAAGAAGCGAGTTACGCAGAGGGAACTCTTTTACAAGTTGCTTTGTGATTCACCAGATTACTTCTCATCTCAATTGCAGGTCAATAGGACAATCTAAGGTCACTTCACTGAGTTCTCACTCGTTTATAATAATACTAATGATTTCAGAAGATGTTTATGTTCAATATGAAGGGGTTTTTTTTTCTTATTAAGTTTCTTTTTAATGGTTGAAATAACTGAGAACTTTGTGCCAAAGATGTTGTAGCATTGCTTCGTTGCAGCCGTTCCTGTCTAGGAAATAGGAATCATGGCATCTAGCAGAGGACTTGTTGCTGGGCCTTTCTTGCTGCAGGCACTTCAATTTCATCAATCTTGTTTGGGAAAAGAATTCATCAAATTTCATAGGCCACTTGCTTCTTTTGTTTTCTAATGTTATGATGTACATGCACATGTGAGTGATTTCTTGTTTATGGACCATGTGACAGGAACCAAACCAAGAGGCTGTGGATTTTTCTGCTTGTGAGTCTTCTGTATAAGCAATTTCAGATGATCCGAAATTGTTAGAGAGCTTGGTTACGAAGAAAGTGTTGGAGAGATAAACCACACCTGGAACTCATATATGCATATTGGACATCATTTGAGTTTATTAGGTTTTTGAGTTCTTAAATCATTCATGCTTATATAAAACATTTTATTCAGATTTTCTAATGATGTTTGTAAGTTCTAATAAGTCTTACCTCAGCTCCCCATGCGACGAGTAAGTCCTATTAATACCTCATTCACAGCACTCAACCTTATCACCTAAGTTATTTCAATGCTCCTTCAATCTATGATCTACCAACAATTTCCACTTTAGTAACACAACTGTGATTTGAACCCGTAATTTTTAGAACTCGTGATTTTTGGCTCTGATATCACTTATTGAAAAGATAAATTACACTTGAAGTTCATAGGAGGACATTAGAGAATCTATACATATATATTGGACACTACTTGATCCCAAAAATTTAAACTATTAAATTCTTAGGTTATTTATGTATATATAAAATATTTTATTCAGATTTTTTAGTAATGTAAGATTTTTTACTCACATATGAACTATTTTCTAACGGAAAGATACCCGCTATATATTATTGTGGTAGAAAAGTTGATTTTCTACATTGAAATCCAATCAGACGTCATTATGAATATATGATTTCTACATCCAATTAAACAGCATTCGACATGATTCTGTTTTGAAGCATGCAATATTTCAGCGATTGGTAGAGGATCGTGCATTTAACCAGGATCCAAGCATTCTTCTCACAGCAAAAGGTTATCCAGATATACCCACAAGGTACCAATAGTGTTTGCGAATTCAACTAGTTTCATGAATTTGCTTTAACCATTTTCTAGCTTAAGCCTGTTGTCATTTGGATTTTTCATTGTAATCACCAACCTTGAATGCCTATAGATTTCTTCTTCACCAAATGAGTCGGGCTTTTCCTGATTTGCCAATTTTAGCACTAGTTGACTGGTATGGATCTCCTGTAGATACCGACCTCTAATAAACTGGTTTCAGCACAATTTTCTTTTGTTTGAGATGACTCTTTGTATATGCCCCTTACACTTATCCTACTCGCACACGAATTCTTCATTCATGAAATTGAGAACAGCAATAGCTGTGCACCATTGACACTGATGAGCTTCAAACTTGAACCTCTATAGGTATCCAGCCGGATTAGCTATATTGTCTACCTACAAGTTTCGAAGCTTAGGGAAGGGCCTAGAGGCATAAAGATAGGGTACTTTCCTGCAGTCAAGCCAATTTGCACCTGTTTTCTCCTTGTTTAAGATATAAACCGAAATTGTTTTCTATGCACCATTCAGCTTGCAACGTTACGTGGTTGGGACTGCGAGGCGATGATCTACAACTGATACCTGACCAATCTTTAGCTCCGGTAAAGCCACGGGACCTTCAAATCGCTAAAAGCTTGATTTCCTCAGAAATCATGCAGGTGCAGTAGTCTACATCCATCCCTAGTTCATGTTCTCAATATCCTTCTAGGAAGTTGGTATATAACCTAGCATCTCCATATTTTAAGAGTTAAAATGGTGTTCATCAGGAGAATAACAGGGAAGAGTTGGCACTAATGATGCAGAATGGTCAGATAGTAGACTTCGAAGCTCTATATTTTCACGGATACGACTACTTGGTGATGTATATAGCAAAGAAAATTGTACAAGGCAATTACATCTAATGACAGTAGGCATTGTCGGAGAAGAATCATGCCTCGAAATTCAATCACTGATAAAAACAGGAGGAAATGCAAGGTGAGATATACAAGGTACAAATATCCAATGCCTTTGACAATTCTATGAAATTTTTTTAGTATTTCCAGCATGCCTGTTGTCGTCCATGCAACTCTCATAACTCTTAACAAATGAAGAACAAATTTCAAAAAATATACTGGCCGCTACAAAAAATGAATGCAAGGCATATAAATGCACTAATTCAGTCTCAGTATATACTGGTAGCTAAAAGAATATCAGATCCGTATCAAAATTTATTTAGCCGCTTCTTGATGTAAGACTCACCCGCTGTCCCTCCACGGAAAACTTGCTACTGCCTTCAAGCTGTTGCCAAATGAAAGAAATGGCAGAATTCAGAACCAGAAAGCAATGAAGAGATGAAGCCATTTTCTTCTACCAAAAAGGAAACGAAGTTTCATAGTACTAAACTAATCAGAAAATACAGTCACCTTTCGTTTCAAGTAGGCAAGAGCCTCTTTCTTTGAAGAATAGTTGGAAAAAACTGAGGATGACTGTTTATCAACAAGAACTTTTAGTCGTTTTAGTTTTAATGACTCACCAGGTACCTGAAATAGGCAGATAACTACTAATTACAGATTGAAACACGATTTTAAACAGCTTGCATTTTAGATCAAGTACCTGACGAAGAAGCTGTTTACACAGCTTTTTCAACTTCAATTTTGGTTCATTAGCTCTCTCCATTTCTAATGCGTTGTCATGCATTCGTTTTGCTGGAAGACCAAAATCATCAGCATTCTCATCATCACTATCACTAAATGAAGTTCTTTTCCCCTGAAAGTGAACTCCGGCTATTTTCTTTGGTCGATCTTTAATGCCTAGGCCTTGCTTTCCAGTTGTGGCTTTATCCTGAAATTTTGGGATAAAAGACAAATATTACTTATCTAACATGCTATTCAGCTGCTTCAGGCTTCGCTTAGTAGAGATGATGGAAAGGAGTAAGGATATAAAACTTGTTAATCTAATGGTTAAGCTATAAAGTGGGAATGTGGTTAAGAATTTTAACGATTAACAAGTTTTCCATCCTTTCTACCAAAACAAAGCCTTAATCTCCCAGTCCCCAACACTATTAAATTCACATACAACAAAAGTATGCAGAATAATCAATTAAAATATTACACATTGATGAGACTTGTTATTGTTTCTCATCTTCAGATCAAAGGTTAAATTAAAAGGAAAATTATAATTGTTCTCTTCATCATACAAATAACTTTAGCACATTTTAAAAAAATGGAGAAGAGACATACTTGCACGAGTTTGTAGAGATTCTCTTGGTCATCTTCGAAAAATACAGTTCTCTCAGTTAAATTTTTAGACTCTCCAGCTTTTATTGATTTCTTTCTGGTAGATTCTCCCAGAAAACCTCCAGAAACAAATCCAAATTTATGGCCCCACCATTCTGGAGAAACACTTTCAGCTTTGTTTCCTGTAACAAAGAGTAAAGTTATATCAGAAATGACCAACAGCAGACAGTTGCAGCCAGCAAATAGCAAGCAAGTTACAGAAAGAGGCCAAGAATATCATTTTCCAGCAAAAGGACTATAATAGGTCTTCAGGTAGAAGGTAACATAAAATCTAAATAAAAAGTCTGGTCTGGCTTTCCTTCTTCAATATTTACCGCATAGACCATAAAGACTAAGCAAAAGTTTCTGAACAATATAATGTAATAGCACATAAACTTACTGCAAGAATTCACCCCAAGGTTTTCAGTATGAATTAAAGTTACTATCAGTGTCTGCTGTCAATGAATTTGTAGTATTTACCTTCAGTGGGAAAATCCTGAGTTTCAGTTGTCTCTATCAACTCCATTTCACCACCCACATCAGGATTTGCCGGTGATGACTCCTCACCCTTTTTGGCCTATTGCAAAGCATGCATGGGTAAATATACAGTGATTGTTTAAACCAAAAATACTAGTAAATGTCAAAAATGCATCAAATCAAACACTATTTACAAGGGAAAAATATATTTCTGAAAAAAAGGATCTGATAATTCTATCAAACAAAACATAAAGACTAATTTCTAATGACCATTTCAATTTCCGTATGAAGTTGTAAGATCATTTAGCATTTAACCGAAACATAAGAACTATCTATTACTGAATCACCATGTTTCACAAGTGCTTTGCGTTTCCACCTTTCTAACTCATGTAGAGACATCTAGAATTTGTTTAAAAAGTTGAGAGACTCAATGGTGAAGGTAAAATGGTTTCTTTCTCTTGTGCTAATATGAAACAATTAACAAATTGATCGAGTATATAAAATTATACTGACAATTAGACTTACAAACACACCCAAGAAAACATAAATATTCAAGATTTACCTTTTACTTGAGCTCTCATGTATTTTCTACACCAGGAAAATCTTGTTGAGTAAATTGGGCATTATTAAAACATCAAATTTGAATAATCAATGACAAGTGAACACATTTCAAACCAAACACAGGACATGTTACAGTTTGATCTGATGTAATATAAAATTATTTTGTACCTTGAAGAGGACACTGGGGGACAAAAAAGAATTACATACTGAAATATATATATATATATATATATATATATATATAAAAGAAGGCATGATTGCCACAGCTTCAAACAAGTATTTTTGACAGAATAAATAACTTTAATGAAGACATGATGAAGGTTTCGAACTTACAAAAATTCCTTCAAGATCCTTTGAAGAATATGCATGCACAAGCTTCCCTCTCTCTCTTTTCTTATATCTAAGAACCAAAGAAAGTAAAAACAACAACAAACAACATAAATAATCACCAAAAATCTCCGATCACTAAAAATAGAGTAACAAACAAACATGAAACAAGCGCACCAACCTTCCCTGTGGTCGGGTAGCCTTGACAACTTGTTCTTCCGTGTCATTAGACACATCCATCTTGGCTTCTACTTGATTTTCATTATTGTCAGCTGTTCAGTAAAATTAACTTACTTCTCAATCAATAATCTTCTACTAAGTATAAAATGAGATTCATTTTTCTTTTTGCATCAATCATACCTTCATCATTGTTTTGCGTTGCTTGCTCCTAAAAAAAAAAAAGAGCATTGAATCAAATTGAACACTTTATTGGCCAAATCAAAGACAATAAAATTAAGAATCAAATACTCACCACTTTCAACCTTTTGAGAATACTATCAAACTGTGCAGTATCGAAAGCCCACGGATTCGGCTTGTCTAATCCAACACCTGCTCCATATTTGTCAAAAATAAAAATCCATTTTTAAAATTAAAAAAAAAAAAAGAAAGCAAAGAGAAACGAACCAGTAGTGTCCTTTTTGTTTTTAACTCTAACGTAACCTTTGATCCCTTGTTTATCTTTGCCAAGCCCTTCTCCTTCCTCCCATCCCTAACCAGGCCACCCAAACAACAAATAATTACAAATTACAAATACGCTTATACATACAAAATATAAGTACATATGGATCCGTACCATTTGCTTCATGAGTCGAAAAGCAGCAGATTGGCGAGCGATGCCGACGTAGCAGAGTGGAGCTTCGGGTGCGGCCATGTTTGCCTCTTCTTTTTGTTCCCCTCTGATACGCCGCCGACAATTCTGAGCCGCGTTTTAAAGAAGGGTGAGAAGTGAAAAAGAAAAAGGTTTAAGAGGGAGGAAAAAAACCTAGGTGGAAGTGAGGGGATATGTGGTGCTTCGAGATAGTGGAGTTCAGTGGACACGCGAAGATCTGGCGGTGGATATTTAATTATGGTGTGATAGTTACAGGGTTGGATTGTGGGTCCCTTTTAATAGCGTAATGATGCGTGGCTGACCTGATGGTTGTAAGCCGCTTATTCTGTTTCCAGTATCCACTTCGGCATTCGCTTTATTGGCCCAAAAAGAAAGGCTTTGGCATTCGCTTCCCAACGGTTGATATTTCACCTATCGGGCGTAGTATTCATATGAACGGCGTCGTTTCTTCAGCACTGTCAAAGTGTCTACTAACCAAAAACCAAAACTCTTTGATTTCAACTAATCAACGGTTCTAATTAACTTTCATATGCTAACTCCATTAATGATTTTCATCATTACATTGAAAAAATAAAATGTTCATGACTGACATATATATATATGTATGTATATAGAAAATCATGTACCTTGATCCTGACATATGCAAGTGCAATTAAGGTCATTTGTTTGTAGAAAAACAAATTAAAAAGAAAAGTCATAGTTATTTATTCAAACATCATTTTCCTACTGTGGATAGTGATCCTTATCCATATAAGAGGTTAGAAATTTACAATACAAATCTCATTGTAGAGCAAGTTTATATATGTCTACTTGGCATGGAAGAACAATGAAAATATGGGAAAAACATGTGGGGTGTGAGTGGGACAGACAAAAGAGATCACTGCCTAAATGGATTGGATGCTTAAGCTAATGCTTTATTGCATATATATATTAACGTCAATTTACTGATAATCATCCAGCACTGGCATAAACAAGGCTGATTCTAAAACCGGGGTAGGCATTGTCGTGGTTTCTCTATCATTTTATCTCATATCTCTCTAGCTAGTCTGCAGAGATTTTTGGGTGCAGGCCGAAAACGAGCATTTTTTCTTTTCCAATGGGGTCTATGCTCGGTGACCTGCCGTCATTTGACCCCCACAACTTCAGCCAGCTTCGTCCCTCCGATCCTTCTAATCCTTCTGTAAGTATCCCCGCAATCCTTTTTAACCCAACCTCACTTTCCGAAATACGTAACATAGGAATTTTATTTCTGGGTTTGATCTGAACAAGTTGTTTGTTTCAGCTGTCATGCTATTGTAATAAATCCCGATGTGCAGTTTACATGAGTACTGAAAATTTGTTACATTTTTTATGAGTAGGTTTCTGGGTTTACCTCAGATATATTTACTGGATTCTATCAAGTAATTTTTCTGAATTTGGACCTTAATGCTGTTGTCCATATATAACCAGTTAGTTGTCAGAAGCTTTTTGGATAAAGGCGTTTGTGGTTACAAAAGAATATATTTGCTTCCTGGTTTATACGGTTTAAATGATTCATGGAATTCCAACTCTGGTATTTTACCCTTTAGTGATTTTATTGTTTGCATTGCCAGATACATTTATTATTAGGATGTTGATTAATCTGATGAAATGGAGTGTAATATGGTGATGTTTATGTGTGAAGCATCCAAGTAATGCTAATGCTTGTTATTATCTGTTTGCTAAAATGACAAAGATCTTTATACAACACAAGCATTAGCCCGGAAATGCTTTATTGCACGGGATAATGATGGGAGTTTCCTTAAGATGGGCGGTAACTATTCTTCGCGAGCTTGAGATTTTGTCTGCTGCTAGTCAATATCAGCTTCAAAAACTACTAAGACTTTAAGTTTATGCTTTAGAAGCTTTCCAGATCTTGTTGTGTTCTTGGTAGTTTTGGTTCTTAGCACTGGTTCTTAACAATGGTCACGAAATTCTATGTTTTAGCTAAGACAGTAGTTGATAGTTTGTTTTTGTGTGGGAATTTAGACGTATTTATGTAATCTATCTTTAGTTTCAATAGTTTGCAGTGGTTCCTTGCTTACCTGTTATAAGATTTCTGATTAAGCATAGAATAGTCTAATGGTTCAAATGGTATAGAGCAATTTTCACCTTCCCCTTTATCATTTTGAGCTATTTTAGCATGTGAGATCTATGCTATTGCATGGAGTTCATATTGAGCTCCTATGTTGTTTTTAAATGAACGGTTTATGAGAGATTAGTCTTTTTGCTCTCATGGGTTGGTCTTTAACAAAATTACACTGACTTCACGTGTATGGTTTGTTACTTTGCTTGAACATTTTAGGAGCACAAAAAGCTTCTCCTTATTTTTCAGTCATGTTAAGAATTGATTGCACTTATCTTTTATAGTGTAACCTTTTCTTTTTGGCTAGAAAATGATACCTGCCACCTACCACCCTACTCATAGCCGGACTCTTCCACCACCCGATCAAGGTATTGAGCAGATATTTCTTTCTCCTTGTTTTACTTCTGAAACAATATTTCTTTCTCAGTGAAAGTGAGATATTCTTGGCACTTTAAACTGTCTGTGGTGACAATATGGTAACCTTTGCTTGGAGAATTCTTTCAGGCTTTATCCACATAGTGATAATATATTTTTATAATGCGAGTCATATGGTGTGGTAATTATTTGGCTGTTATACCTTCTAGGATGTTGAATGTTGACTTATTTTTGAAAGCATCAAGTGCTGGAAAAGTATGTAGAGATTTCTGAATTGGAACTTGATATGATATAATTTAGCTGGAAAAATGGTATTGTCTTGACAAATGGGCTTTAAATAAATGGTAATGGATTGAGAAATTGATTTTTATGCATCACTTGATGCATGCCACTGCTACTACTTGTTACATACTTTCTATTATCTTCCTTTGAAATGGTGGAATTGATTTACCTTCTTTGTTTCCCTCTTCAGTAATCTAAATGTCATAGATTACTTATATGGAATTGTTCATTGTCTCTCAGTTCTGTTTTGATATCTACAAAGAGTGGATATTTTCTAATCAGAATTTAAAATGATTGGTTGCATACAAGATTGAAATTGTTGTTTGAAGTTTATCAATTGGAATGAAAATGTTGAGAATATTATTTGTATGTGTTTCCTGAACTACAGTGCTACCAATATAAAGGCACTACCGATTGAAATTGCATCCTGGTGCAAAATGCCACAGCTCATTGACTTAAATTAATGACTTTTTGTTATGAATAATTTTTTTAATTGACCTGTAAGCATTTTCTTTATTTGTAACTGACCTTTCAAACACTTTTAACAGTTATAACTACTGAGGCCAAAAATATACTAATTAGAAACTTCTATCAGTGTTCTGAGGAGAAGGTTAGTAACTTGTTTATGATTTTTCATGCTATAACACTGCATACAAATAATTTCATAGTCACAGATAGAAAGTCACGGACACATGCATGCACTTTGAGACTGGCTGTGTGGATATGTCATGTAGTTTCTTAGTGCTTTTCCTATTGCAGTTGAGATCAAAGAGAGCTGCCACTGAACATCTAATACCAGAGCATGGACGCAAGCAACCTAGGGCTTCCACCTCATAGTCGTAATGAGATTTTCTTTTGTTTCTTTAGTGCTCATGTCTCTGTTTATTCTCATATCAAATGTTTGTTATACTGTGAGGAAAGTTGCTTACCTATTGTTGTAAACCGGGATGCCAAACTTGTACATTTTGTGTATAAATCAAACTAATAGCTGGGGTTATCATAGTAACAAAAGGTGTTATGCTTAGTTCTACATTCTCTTCTTGGTATTCATTCCATGTGGCAATGGTATGGCTGAATTGCTGAAATGCTAAATCCTTGTATGCTGGTTTAAGTATTCAAGATTTCATCTTAAAAGTGATGTGCACAATTGAATCTCTAGGTAATCACACGTTTGAAAATGTTACTTGGGGCTCTTGGGGCTTTATGTTTTAACTGAAATCATATACATTTTTGTGTTGTCTGGTTTGGTAAACCTGATTATGAAGTTAGTTTTTTTTTCCTGTTACGGTCATACAAATTGAAGGTTTTCCCTGTCTGGTTTCACGGACAGACATAAGATAACCATTCATGTTTCAGGAAGTAAAATTAGGTTTATTTATGATCCCAACTCTCAAGTTTCAAGGTTGGCACCGAACTGACCTAAGCAATTTATTGAAAAAGGCTCTTCTAAAAATTACTTGAGCATTTGGGACTCGTATTCATGGGGTAGGTGGATTGCAATGGCTGTGATTACACTAACATGAATCATCGATAAAAACATTGGAAATGGGCCACTAGCCGGAGTTCTTGGTACCACTGGTTGAAAAGTAAAATAATGAATGAAATTGTTTGGTTCGTGCGTGTCATAGGTGACACTTAATTTTCGATTCGCGCGGCTTTAAGATTCAGAAGTATTGTTTGTTTTGATCTTTTAATCTCACGATTTTATTTTATAAAAAGAACCTCACAAGACTTTAATGACCATCTTTTTATGTTTCATGTAAAATTTAAGTCTTAAGTTTATGACATTCTCCTTCACCAAACTTTGTAACAAAGAAATTGGTCATTCTATCTACCTCTCTCGAGGTGGTTGACGTGGATCAAACAGTTTAGAGTTGACTTTGATACCACTTATAACAGGTCGAGATTAAGCTCCAACCTGCGCGTGGCTCCAGGAACTGTTAGGATTCACATGCCTCAATGACCATCTTTTTATGTTTCATGTAAAATTCAAGTCTTAAGTTTATGACATTCTCCTCCACCAAATCTTGTAACAAAGAGGTTGATCATTTTGTCTATCTCTCTCGACGTGGTTAACGTGGATCAAACAATTTTGAGTTGGCTCTGATACCACTTATAGTCCGAGAATTACGATCTTTGGCTCTGAAACTGAATCATTTCCTTGTATCTGAGAAGAACTTCCAGATTAATAGGAAGGAAGCTTAATCGGAATGAATCAGAATTTATCTTCTATGATCGACCGATATAAACATCAACAAACTCCGAATTGGCTCAATTTTTCCCCAACAAATAAGTGCTTGGGCCAATAAAATCCTACCTAATGGAGAAACCGTTGGAGAGGTGACAAAACCCTATATTTTTCATTACAAAACCAATAAACCGGAAAAGGATGGATTATTTTGTGAAAGAATTTAGGTTGGTCATTTTGTCTATCTCTCTCGAGGTGGTTAACGTGGATCAAACAGTTTAGAGTTGGCTCTGATACCACTTATAACAGGTCGAAACTTAAGCTCCAACCCGCGCGGCTTCAGGAACTGTTAAAATTCACACCCTTGTGAGGTATTATTTGCTCTGATCCTTGGTTTCAAGATTTTATCCTACAAAAACATCTCACAAGGGAGAGATGGTATGAGATCTTATATACTCCAGTGATTTTCTTTTTATTTTTGATGTGAGATTCAAGATTTATTCTTAGATTCATGACATGTGTATATAATATTATATATTAAAAAAAAAGGGCAAAAAGATAAAATTTCAACGGCTATGGCCACTCAGTCTTACGGTTGTTCTCCAATTCCAGCAAAACCCACCTCCAAAACAATGTCAATCAGGTCCATTTTGTTGCCTAATCCTCTTATCTCAACCGCCAGACATCATAATAATGTCGTACCATTGTCATCTTCTTCATCTTTCACTCCTCGAGCTTCAATTTCACCAGCTGCTACTTCAGTTGCAGTCGATGGACCCACCACCTTCAACAAACCTTCTAAGTCTTTGCCGTTTAGAGCCATGGCTTCTACCTGCATCGATGGGAGCCTGGCTACCCTCTGATCATTGGTGGGATTGATATTCCTCATGATAGAGGCTGTGAGGCTCATTCTGATGGTATTTTTCTCATTCCCTTTTTCCTATTTTTTTTAATTTCTGAAAATTTTCCCCATTTATTTTTCTCCCCGACATCAACGCCATACTTTTTATTTCTTTTGATTTCTTGCATTTGGATAGTTTTAATTTATAAAATTTCTCTGATGTTATCTCGAAATCTTTATTTCTTGGTTGTATTATTTGTTTAAAATTTCCACAATTTGCTTTTGATGCTAACCATATCGAGATCAATATGTTGCAGGAGATGTGCTACTTCATTGTGTTGTGGATGAAATACTGGGAGCTTTAGGGCTTCCTCATATAGGGCAGATACTTCCAGACTCTGATCCCAAGTGGAAAGGAGCTGCATCTTCGGTCTTCATCAAAGAAGCTGTGACTATTTCTTTAGTGTAGATTCTGGGTAATTTTGAGAAATTTGTTTTATTTATTTAATTTTTTGGGTGTTTATTTTCCCGTGGATGCTTTGAGCCTTTGACTGGTTCATTGCTGGTTACCTTAAAAACAGAGGAAACAAAGAAAAGACTGGTTCATTGCCATACTATGAAACTTCTATTTGAAATCTGGCCTTAGCTTAGATGGAAAGTGTTCGGATGGGGATACCGAACCATAGTATTGTGAGTACCAAAAAGAGACTAAATGCAATTATTTAGCTCAGGTGCATGGTTAAGCAAGGAAAACATAAACGAGACTGAAAGTTATAGGCTGCACTAGTGCACTTTGACACACCATATAAGTATTAAAATTTTATGAAATATCCTTTTCAGCCTTGTTAATAAGGAAAAAAAAATGAAAAGAAACTCCTGGAGTGGTTTGGACTGCAAAGCCAGTCTTTGTAGCAACCCATATATGATATAGCACTACTTGTTGATCTCTTGAGGGGCATGGCTGGTTAATTTCTATCTGCTTAGAAACCAAAATTGTGTCTGCTAGTTCGAAGCTTTTGGTAATTTGTCTTGGATGCGTTAGCAAATCAAATTAATAGATGTCTGCTGTCTTGAGCAGTGGAGAAGTGCGTATTATACTGCTGTATTAGTGCAAAACTCTGATGCTTTAACTTTGATAGTGACTTCCCAACCTCGATGCAATGAACCCTGTACTTTATTTGATACAATGAACCTAACAGGCTATGATTCTTCCTTTGAAACAGCTTAACTTTTTTATGGTAGGAAATTGGATTAAGTTTTTATTACGGAATGTGATAACTAGTATGGCACGTGCATGTATGTAACTGAAAAAAACTCTATATATCCTTATATTCTATCTAACCTGCAAAAGTGATTCTATATGCAGATGCACCTTGTAAACATGATGTTTTACTTAAGTTATATAAATTAATAAACGTTTTTTTGCTTTTAAAAGCAATGTATCTGGTATGATATTGCTTCTGTAAAAACTTTGATGCTTTATTTGACAGTGACTTTACCAACCATGATGCAATGAACCTTTCTTCAAAACAGCCTAACTTGTTTGTCGTTGGAAACGGAATCTACTTTGTGATGCTATATGTTGATGTCAATGTAGGCTGTAAAGTGAAATGCTAAACATGTTATGCTAAATGTTTCACCTAGAAATTCGCATGTGGTTTTCTGTATATATAAATAGTGGAGGGATCCTTGCTGAACCTGAATTTGCATGTATACTGCATCAGTCAGAGAAGAGACTAAATCATTAAAATGTTCCCCCAATCCCTCTTCTCATCCAAATCTTTTACTGTCACTTTCTTCCCAAGGATTTAGCTGTTTGGCATTCTAAAATTTTTAACTTAATGTGAGATTGCCAACCCTAAATTGTTTGTAGGACTGGCAAAAGGAAGAATGATTAACAAACTGGCAAGTCAAAACAAACTAGAAAGTAGGGGAATATATGAAAACCATGGTTTTTTTGAACTATAGATGTGGATGACCCCTTAACTGATTTAATTCAGGAAAGAGATATCTGTTCCCTTTCCACTGAATTCAGATCTTAGAAATGAGTAGCAAATAACTAAATGTGTATATCATTTGAAGAACTCCCTGACTAAGTTTTTACATATCAATGTGCTAGGCACAATCAGAGAGAAACCCTTAAGAGTATTATTTAAAAATAAAATGAGTAGGAATAATTTGTCTGGGAATTTTTTTTCCCTTGTGCAGTATGCACTCTGCTCAAGTTAGTCATGCTAGGCCATCATTGTTTATATCTTCCATTCTAGGAAACATACTCAATTTTGGCTGTTCAGACTGTTTAGATTACTCATGCTCATTTTCTGCAACATGGTTTATTTCATGTGAGACTCATGCATGAGGCAGGTTATGAGATTGGAAACTTAGATGCCACCTTAATTCTTCAAAGACCAAAAATGAGCCCACACAAGGAGGCTATCAAAGCCAACTGGTCTGAGCTGTTAGAAGCCAACCCAAGGTGGTCATAATTCGGTTTTAATCAAATTAATCTATCGAACCATTTTAATTCGATTAATTTGGTTTTAAATAATTCGATTCAAATTTAATTGAATCGATTGAATGAACACACTAGAAGGTTGACAGCCTTGGTGAAAATCAAAGTATTCTGCATATACTATTGCCCTACATATGAGGAAGTGAATATAGGTCCCTCAAAGTATGGCAATTGTATACCGTCATCATGGTATTGCTATGTTTGACAGCTTAATGTATTTGTTTGGCCCAGTTCACTTGAACAACTTGAACAATAAAGTGCTGGTTAGTTTTAACAGGCTACCATCTCCATATTGGTCATTGTTATATTAAGTTTGTCAAAGACTCAACTTGAAACATACCATGGTCAAATTAATAGTAAATATTTATGTTCTGCAGTTTTCCAATTTCCGTGTTCAATGCCTACTTTCTGCTGCATTAAAGTGCCAATGGCTGCCTTCACGTGTTCAACTTTAGTTAATTTACCAGTTCTTTTTTTTTTTTCTTTACTTTAAATAATCATTCTCAAGCTTCACATCGAATCATCAAGTACATGGCTGCCATGAATTTCACATGATTATTGAATAAAGTTTGGTAAGTTCACTCTTTTCAAATATTGTTTGCTGCATTTCTCAACACGAAAACTATAAGGGGAATAAAAGTTTTTTTCTTTCCGGGATTCTTTGATGTTTTGTTGAACAATTGAGTTTTGATCAGGTCAAAGTAGAAGACATAAAAACCAACTTTAGACGTCTCTGGCCACGGGCAATTAACTTATTTTTCTCATGAAATTCCAACATGATTCTCATTTATTTATATATCATATCAAGATAATCTGTGAAAGATTAATTATAATGAAGTATTTAATTTAATATCCAAATATTAAAAATTTTTAATATGATATTTAAATTATAAATATATTAATTAAGTTGATATTTGAATGATTATTTATTTTATTACGTGTCATTATATAAAGTTAAATACATTAAAAATGAGTATAATATTAATTAATAAATTCATAATTTAAGTATTACATTAAAAATTTTTAAAATTTAAATATCATGTTTAATGATTATTATAATTCAAAGATTATCTTTTGGTGCTAAATTATTTTTCTATAATTCATTAAGGACTACTGGTTTCTGGAGTTGAGGATCACTAATAAACCCAGAAAAACGTTCTTCGAGTTAGGCTTTGAAGGTAGACCGCGTTTACTAGGTCAGAGTCATACTATTTGTCACTGACTATCCGGGTTGCCAAAGTGTTATTGTACCGGATCAGAATTTTCAACGCTGCTCTTAGCCAATCAAATGTTTTGACTTTCTAAACGACGAATGACAAGCTTTCATCTTAACCTGAAAGAGTAAGTTAAACAAGTGGATCGAATTGGACGCCTATGAAGGCTTCAAACTTCCCATACGATCAGTCTCTGACCGTGAAAATCTCAGGGGAAGACCTCCACTCAGCCTCCCCTGAAGCTGACGAAGTTTGTAAGTTAGAAGCCATCATATTGACGAAGAGATTTTAAATCTGAATTTTAATAATAATTATTTGTTAAAATCATCTCGAATATATTATTTATAATTATTTATTTTAAATTATTATTGAAAGATTAAATAATTTATATACTTTCAATTTTAATTAAAAAAAAAGTTAGAAGCCTCCAATAATATTTGTCTTCTTGTTATTCTAATTTTGTCATACATTGCTCTTTGAAGGAGACACCTTCGACCAAGTTGGAGAAAAAGACTAAAGTAGACGGAGGAAGCACGCTAATTTTTTGTATATAAAAAAGTCGGAGTACGAGAATAAAATAAAAAATTATATATATTAAAATTTGAATTTTAAATGTATTAAATGATAATTTTTTAGATAGTTGTATAAACAAAAGAAATTAAGTTTTGAAAAACAAGCTAATTTTACCAAAGAATTAAGACGTAATTTACTAATTAATCAGGTAATAATACAATAAAATATATTGATCAAATCTTCCTTTATAAAAGATTAAGCATCAAAACGGATATAAAAGCATTATCTTAGTTTGTGTAATCCAACTGTTCTAAAAAGGACAACCGGGGGGATTAAAAAAGGAAGTCAATGCATATCTCAGAGCAAACCGGATTGATTCCACAGTTGCTTCCCAATGCTGCTGCTGCCTCTCTGGTTGCACTTCCTGAGCAACATAAACTAGCATTTATAAAATAGGGCCAAAGAGAGAGTTGAATTATTCTATAGAAGGGCCATAGCAGGTAAGCAGATTGAGACCTCCTACTGAATTGATTGAGCTAAGTGAAGTCGGTCTCTTTAAATTTCCAATAAATTAATAGTCGGTGGTTACGGGACATCCATTTATATGCTTTAGTTATTAGCTATGAACCAGTATACCTCCCTTATGTCGGTACACTTACTACAGATATAGACTCTATCCTGGTTTACAAGCAATGTTCTAGAAGTGTCCACTCCACTAACCTTGTTTTTCAATCTTCAAATTCCATGAAAAACTTTCATTCGTTTAAGTCTTTAACCACTAATTACTGGAAAAGGTGCAAAGGGTTGAGAGGACCACACCAATTGACTTGCCTAGTCGTCTGCAATTCTTTGATCGAGCCAGGTCGTAGGCTGCATAACCCTGCCCTGTCACACTTACTCTCAGAGCTAAGTTGTTTCGTGGTCCATGCTTGACATATGAAAAATGGAACATGCCACTGTCACATAGCAAGCCAAAAGATGAAAATGTTACCATATGAAAGTAGCACTATAATCGCATGGGACGGTTTTGGTTCATCGAATTTTGATGTCTGATGTAGTAAAGTTAGTCGGTGACTTTGCAGTGAGTTACTATTGTATACCATGACACGCTACCGTGTTCGGGAACTGATAATCTTTTTTCAACCTGTTTGTAGAATTCAGAGAACAATAATAATTGCATATCAGAAACAAGGAAAATATTTTTATCCTTTAAATGACAAGATTTCTTTAGTCAGAAAAAACACAAAAGATGTACTTTAAGGAATGTTGTTTACATTTAATTTGAAAGCAATTACTATGAGTTAATAAGTTATATGTTTTTAAAACGTTGATTCAATCCTCAAAAATATACTAATAATAATATTTTTCATTACCAACAAATGATTGATTTGATCGTCTTTTTTAATAAAAAAATTTTAAATTTAAATTTTATCAATAATCACTTATTGAATTCATTTCGAATATATAATTTATAATCATTTAATTTAAATTATCATATATAATACATCTTATTTTAAAAAATTAAACAATCTATTTACTTCAAATTTTTTCGTCCACTAATAGTTCATCTCATCTGTCACCATCACGTTGTGAAGCTGTATTAACTTAATTGATGGCCATGTCGTCTCTTTTTTGTAAGGAGATTCTTTTAATTTTCTAAACACTAACAGCAAATTTAATGTTAAAAATGATTATAAAAAATCGCAAAAATCCTGTCAATAGTCTTCCTCCTTCATGGAATTTTCTAATTCTCTCAGATAGATCCCAGCCATCATTGACTTTATGCAGATGTAATCAACACTATAAATAAGCAGCATTACAACCCACAATAACTCAAAGCAATTCCTGCACTCTCACCAAAGCTAATCTGTTCTTTCTTTGTAACGACGTGTTTGCTTCTCCAAAGCTAATCTTCATTCTTTGAACTTGAAAAAAAGAATTTTCTCAAGCAGGAAAAAATGGCTGGCATGTCTAAGATTGCAACTGGCAATGGTCACGGTGAAAACTCTGCTTACTTCGATGGATGGAAGGCATTCGAGAAAAATCCTTTTCATCTCACAGACAGACGAGATGGAGTCATTCAGATGGGTCTTGCTGAGAATCTGGTAAATTCAATTCTCCCGGAATTTTGTAGTAAGATCACTTTCTATTTTCTGGGCTCTGATAGAAAGAAACTGATAGTTTCCTGCTCTTTACTTCTCCAGCTTTGCTTTGACTTCATCGGAAAGTGGCTCATGGAACACCCAGAAGCCTCCCTCTGCAATGGAGAAGGTGTAAGCAAATTCAAGGAGACAGCACTTTTCCAGGATTACCATGGAATGCCCGAGTTCAGACGGGTATGGCAAACTATAACAGAATTTTTGCATCTGCTTCAATTTATTGATTGATCACATTAATTAACACTGACTAATGAAAATTGTGTACTTTCACCACAGGCTGTTGCAAATTTTATGGCGAAAGTGAGGGGAGATAGAGTAGAATTTGACCCAGACCGCATTGTTATGAGCGGTGGAGCAACCGGAGCTCATGAGATGGTTGCCTTTTGCTTGGCAGATCCTGGTGAAGCAATTCTGGTTCCCACTCCTTATTACCCCGGGTAATGCATCAGACATTTTCTTCTTAATTTTCCTTTTTCGGTTTTTTCCTTTAAAAAAAATGATAAGAAAATGGAAATTAGATGCATACAAGAGCCCAAATTTGAATTGCTTAACTTGAGTTTGAGTTTTTTCTTCACCCTTGCAATGACCAACCTTGACCTTTGTCCCCAAACCCACGCACGCATGGATAGTAACGAGAAAGAGGAAGGAAATTCTAATTCACAATTAAATGATGGCTAAGATTAGTTTAATAGAACTAAGTTTGGTCAACTTAGCAGTAATGTCAAATGTGGCAATGTCGCCGCCTGGGATTGATTCAAAGGGGGATGGAGTCTGGGTAAATCGGTACGCTCTTCCTCCATTTTTTCTTCTTCTATAGCATTCGCATCATTTTTAAGATCATTATAATAATTTCATCACCGAGATGATTTTATTGTAAAAGTAATTTTATCTCTGGTGATCGAAAATCATTTTATTTGATTAAAAATCATTAATTTTTAGTAATTAAATATTATTATATTTGATATTATTAAAAATTAAATATTATTTTATTTGAAATACCAAAATAACCATGCACCTTGTCATAGTTACACAAGTTAATGGTTTTAATATTATTTAAATATAATAATTTATATATTAAATATTAGTAATATTTTATTTACTTCATAGTAAATATAATTAAATTATTAAATTAAAAATATATTTATTGATAGAAAATTAGTTTTTATAGTATAAATTATGTAAACAAAATTTTGAATTAGAAAATAAATTAATATATTAAAATCAAAAGATTATATTATGAATAAATTTAAAAAAAATTTAAAAAATCACATAAAATATTTTTGAACTTGTTACAATAAATATTAGTTTGAAAATATAAAAGTTATAATATAAAATAATTACAATTAATTTTTTTAAAAAAAGGTTTTAGTTTACATATTAAATAAGTAAAATATTTACTATTATTAATTTTATATATCATTTTATCCCAATGATAAAAGTTTTTTACATTTTCGAATGAAAATTAAATCACTTTCAAAAAAATAATCTAATCACTTTTAATGATTCAAGATTATTATCACGTAAGATTACTAAATGGTTACCAAATATAATAATATGATTGCTATGCATAAATCAGGATTTTTTGAGTGATCCCTTCGTGCTAAACAATACCTTAAAAAGGAAAACAAATTTGTTGACATCAAGTTTTCTTCTATGCACATACGTTTCACTGACGAGTATCATGAAAGCAACATTCTCTCTTTGTTTTTTTTATGTCGAAAACTTTTAAGCTCTTGGCCCATCTGTGTATAGATAAAAGTTATTATCAAGTACAGAGACCCTCTTTAAAAGATATAGGAAAACTTCAGAACCTTGTATAGAGGGCGGAGGACAATAATTCAACAGTTCTTGCTAATTTTTAGCAAAAAAAAAAAAAAAAAAACCATTTCTTATAAACATGAGGCTCGTCAACCTGAGTGGGACAGTAATACTCTTAGAAAGTTGAGTTGTCATTTTCATTAGAATCAGTCTGCTTGTCATTCATTTCTCATAGACCTAACTCTGTAGCATAATAGCTGGATGCATGAAAGACACTTAAGATGCTATAAAGGAAAACAGATAACAAATGGGACTAAGGCTTAAATGGAATGACTAATTCAAGCAATTTAGAAATTGAAAAGTGATTTCATTACTTTGCAATTTCATGGTGTAATTAGTTCCTAGTTTACTCAAATATTTGGCATCTCTTTGCAGATTTGATCGTGACTTGAGGTGGAGAACAGGCGTTGAACTTGTTCCAGTCATTTGTGAGAGTTCCAATAATTTCAAGATCACTAGAAATGCCTTGGAAGCTGCATATGGAAAAGCACAAGAAGCTAACCTCAGAGTCAAGGGTTTGCTCATAACCAATCCATCAAATCCATTGGGTACTATCTTGGATAGAGAGACTTTGAAGAGTATTGTAAGCTTCATAAACGAAAAGAACATACACCTGATCGGTGATGAGATTTACGCTGCCACAGTTTTCATGGAGCCTGAGTTCGTTAGTATTTCTGAGATTATAGAGGAAGTCGAATGTAACCGTGATCTCATCCACATTGTCTATAGCCTTTCGAAGGATATGGGGTTCCCTGGCTTCAGGGTTGGCATTGTCTACTCGTACAATGATGCAGTGGTGAGCTGTGCCCGCAAAATGTCCAGCTTTGGACTGGTGTCCTCACAAACTCAGCATTTAATTGCATCAATGCTATCTGATGATGGTTTTGTTGATAACTTCATTGTGAAAAGCAAAGAGCAGTTACTCAAAAGGCACAAGTATTTCACTTGGCGTCTTTCTCAAGTTGGTATTGGTTCTTTGAAGAGCAATGCTGGCCTGTTTATATGGATGGATCTGCGTAAGCTCCTTAAAGAGAAGACATTTGAAGCAGAAATGGATTTGTGGCAGGTGATAATCCATGAAGTTAAGCTCAATGTTTCCCCTGGTTCTTCTTTCCATTGCCATGAGCCAGGTTGGTTCAGGGTTTGCTTTGCTAACATGGATGATAACACCATGGATGTTGCTTTGTCGAGAATTAGAACCTTTATGCTTAATAACAATGAGGCCGTGGTTCCTCCTAACAAACTATGCAGGCGAAGCAGCCTTAAACTCAGCTTTTCTCGAAGAAAGGATGATTTCATGTCACCTGGCATCATGTCTCCTCACTCTCCATTACCTCAATCACCCCTCGTCCGAACAAGGACTTGAGCTGAACGATGGCTTTTCCCCACTACACACTACTACGAAAAGGTTGAATCTTTCTTTCCTTTTTCCAATTTAGAAACTTTACTTTTAGTTGGGTTTTGTAAATTAGAGAATAATCTGCTGCATTCTTTCTCATGGAGATAACCCATGCATGATCCTTTTGGTGGAGGCTCTCCATCACATGGGACTCCATGGATTCATGCATCACTATCCTGTTTCTTCAACAATTGTAATTTTTTGTCTTTCCTCAAATGCAAAAGTGCAAAGTGATCAGGAAAGTTCAATGTTGGTTAGCACTGTCCTTGCACATGTATACCATTGTTGGTTGTTTTCTTTGGTTTATTAGAACACTGCCACAAAAAATGTCTTAAGTTCTGAATTTGTAACATGGTGTACCCATTCAATGTGTAAAATGAAGGATTATTTCTTGAATTTCTTTCTTTTTTTTTAATTATTGTTGCTATCTATATAGCAGGGTCACTGCATTTTTCTAGGACAGAACAATCAGTGTACAATTTCTCAATTGCAAAGCCAGTACTGCAAAAATAGTCTGTTCAATGCTTTTTATTACATAATTCAACCATCAAATCGTAATTATAACATATGGAAACTGTCAAACATCAATTTTACAAGGAGAAATAGTTATAGGCCCTGTTTCAATATCCAGTATCTCAGCAACTACTGTTCTGGCTCATGAAACTGTGAACTTTGCAATGAGATGTCCCAAAGTGACATGCAATGAGGATGACAGCTTGCCTAACTTATAAGTAAGGTTTTTATATAGAACCAAATCTCTTCTTCACCCTGGAACGAGAAAAGATAGGCCCATTAGACAGTCCAACCATTGGATTAAAAATGATAAGAGAGAGTGCAATGAGGTGGAAGGAGAGGGCAATCCAGCAATGTTAGAGCATCATTGGAAGCAGCAAATTGCTTCAATTATTCCTAATTTTGGGATTCTCTAAGTTATCGCAAACAAGTTGATAGGCGGTGGTTTAATTTTGTCAGGAAAATGGGTCCAACTTTATGTAAGTGATTTTTTATCAAGTAAAGATCATGAGCTTTGATTTTTTATTTTACACATAACTCTAATTACTTAATAAAAAAAAGGTATGGTTGTTTTAAGGGTGTGTCAAAAATGAAGTAGAGAAAGAAGAAAAGCTAGAAAAAGAAGAAAGGAGAGTTAATTGAACGGAAGTCGATTCGTAATTCGATTGAATTGAAACATTGTGAAGAGGTTTATGATTCAGAATTCTACATTCTGAACGGTGAAAACCGGGTTTGAAGCTCTCTATGAATGCATCCAAGGTGTGTTTGATGAGATTTTTTCAATTGTTTCTCTAGTTGTTGATTAATTCTAGTTTTGATTAGAGAAGAACTTTGTATACTTATTATTTGATAGTGAATACTTTGTATACAATAATATAGAAGTAATAATTCTATAATAATAATTATTTATTACTTCTATATTATTGTAATTATTGCTTTAGGTCACAATAAATTTATCAATTCATGTTCCGTTTGTCTCGATCATTTTGCAATTTATAATAGTCAGTCATTGTCAATTGCATGCTTATCGGAAGGGTATCCATTATGCGCTGATGCAAGAATCCGGATGAGCACTTTTGCTTAAAAAAAAAAAAAAACCCAAAGATTAGTTAGAAATCGGTGGACTAACGCTCTAGAAGATGACATCATGTACGATGTTTGATGGAAAGGTTATTTATTGATAGAGGGACGACATAAAAGGATGAATTCTTTTGCATGAGCATTGTGTGTGAGTAAAATTTCCAGGATATGTTGTCAGTTCCCCATGAAAAATAGCGTCAAATGAGGCCAAGCTATCCGAATGAGGACTTGGCTACTTGGTCTGCTACTCTGTTCTTGATCCAAACTTAGGTATCTAACTTCCCTAGCACTTAATTGGACCTTCTTCTTTTATTGGATTGATTTGTTTTTGCTTCACTAACGAGGACGGAACAAGAATATTCCAGGAGAGAGAATTGTGCAGAAAAAATTTCCTAACAGGTATAGCATTATTAAAAGCCTGTGTGGATAATTGCATATTATTTTTCCAGGGTTTTAATAACAATGTCTAATGAGACGGGGCAATCCCATCCCATTTGAGAAGTCGGCGACTTGGGCTGCTTTTGGTCTGTATGACTTGCTTGGCATTATACTTCGTGCTTTTCTGATCAGTGGTTTCGCCAGTTTTTGTCAGAATAAGAGAATCGAAAAATGGGAATCTGCAAAACAATTTTTTGACAAGTACATACCATAGTATGAAGAAGCTCTTGAGTTGGTACAAATATGGGCATTATATCTATTACTAATCAGCAATTTTTGTTTGCCATCTACAGTTTTCTTCCAAGTTTTCTGATTTCTGATTTTCTTTTTCTAATGGAAGCAAGCAGACCCCTTTTCTCTAAGCAGTCTGGTTCTTGATAATGCTGAAAAAGGTTTTGTGGACTTTAGCAGCTGGCACCGTCTGTCATCGTCCAAATTGGGCTTGGTATTATAGTGTTACTTTAAGGTAACAAAGAAACCCAGAAAGGCCAAAGTTGGGCTTAGATTGACCCCAGGACTGGGGAGAGTCGGTCATGAAGAAATAGACCGGAGGAAACATTTTGTGCTTCTTGGGACTTCCCATCATCAGGCGTCGTCAGCTTTGAAATGTCCATTCCGACTTTCATTGCAAAGGAAAAAAATTATTCTCTCAGTCACAGACCATGATCTCCATCAAATGTGCGCTCTCGTTCTCATTCGTAGTCAAATTGTTTTGCAGCAGACTGATGATTGATGAATGGCCCACAGCGAGTAGTTTATATTAAGTCATGGGTTAAAGATACCTGTTCTTGCCTCCTTGTATATAAATAAGTGGATTAGTTAATTATTCAACATTGCAATTTGCAACACAGCTAAAAGGATCAATTCTTCCGAATAGAAAAATACTTCCCTGCATCATCAATTCATTATCATCCAATGAGCCTTCACCCTCCAGAATCCAGATAAGGCTTTGATTAGACATCAAAGGTCATTAATCAATCAGAAATTCTATCAGATACGGTGTTAGTATTCTTTTTTATCACCAAATTCTGAACTCTTATTCACTAAATTGGTTGGTAATCCTGGATTTAACCAAATGGCCCCTAAGCATTACAAGAAACAAGCTGGAAAATTAAGCAAAATAAAGTACTAGTTTTACATTTCAGCATGTCCTTTACAGAACAAGAGTAAAATATCAATCCTTGTATTATCAAACTATATGCATAGGATTGGAAAACCTTTTTCCGGAATTGTCTCCAATGAGGGGTTTCCAAAGTTCATGCACTGATGCATGGAAATGTTCCAAATCCTTCTGCTCTGTCCTTCAGGAGTCTCAAATTTAGCAGATAACACAAGAATTCGGATTCTCTTCTGCACTCACTATCCGGTAATATGTAGTTATGTGAGGATTATAGGCAAACTGATCACTTTCTTTCTTTTTATCTCCATCCTTCTTGCCGCCTTCATCTTTCTTGGCTGCATCTTTCTTCTCTTCTTTCGCCGGTCCTACCGTTAAAATCTCCGTCCACCATTGTTTTCTTAACTTGCTCGCCACGACAACCGGGTCAACATCGCCAATCACTGTTAATTTCTTATCCTTCATGTCCATGGAAATAGAATCAATACCTACAAAAACATTACAGAACAAAGGCAACAGGGTATATGATTGAAGACAAGTACCTCATATTAACAACATTGCAGAACAAAGGCAACAAATTATTTGATCATCAGAAAAATATGCTTAAATAAGTACCTGATAGACCAGAAACTGCTTTCATGGCTTTCTTTTTCCCTTTGTCATCATGTAAATCCAATTTCAAGACAACTTTCTGTAAGAAAAATGAAAAAAAATCATGTCAGAGCCAACAAAACATCCCTATCCTGTCATGTCCATGAAACTTTGTGCAGCTGTGCTCTTTTATAGCTACCGGTATCGCTCTGAGTAACCATGAAAGAATCTTAATAATTCAAAAAAGTGATAACCAACAGCATCTAGAACCGCTGCAAACATAATAAAGCAGTTAAGTTGATGAGAAAACGTAAATCCCATGAAAAAGTTGGCTTTAAAAGGCATGAAAAACCAAACAAGAATCATAGAGAACCACATCAAACATTGTTTTTTATTCTATATCGTTAAGACCAGAAAATATCAATAAACAAAAGATAAAACTAATAAGTAAAGAAAGGTGCAAATTCTTGGTAAGGAACTGGGGAGAGAATAGATTTAGGGAAGGAAACTTCACCTTCATTGCTGTTGAAACTGGAAACCGTGACCAAGACTTAGAACAAGACTAAAACAAAACAATGATATAAAAGAACTACAATATACTCAATTTGTAAGCGAGAGATGTAGACAATATATATATATATATATATATATATAAATACATATAAGTACGTAGCAAATAGGAACACGGCTGGAAATAATGTACACAATTCGTCCCAAAAGAAAAAAGAAGTACAGGAAATAGGAACAAAAAAGAAGTAGAACTCTGACCGTTTCCTTGTCTAAGAAATTAAGCATAGAAGATGGACTGCAAAAATTTACTAACGTAAGGGGAAATTTTGTATTTCCAATATTTCCTTTATTATCATTAGTCATTATTAATTATTAATTCTTCTTTTTCATTGAGAAAAGAAAATCACTTATTTCTTATCACTTAATATATTATAACCTAATAAATATGTGTCATCTTACTATTATAATAAAATTTAAAAATTTTACTGTCAGTGATGTGATAATTTCTCTTCCTTATTCACCATCTATTCATGAATTCGCAATTATTTATCATGTGGCATACAATATGATTTGTAAACTTGTAATAAACGTACAATGTTTCATTGTTAATTCATTTAAACTAGTCATCATTTCATATGTAAAAAATAGAAAATAAAAAAAAAATAAAATTATTGCAAAGTGTGAGATTACTTGCAAGAGAGAAACATTATTTCGATCACTTATCCTTGAAATGATGCAAAAACCAAAGAAGAAAAATGGTGCAATTAGAAGGAACAAGAGTAGGAATGTCGGTTTTCTGGTGAACTAACCACAGACTTATCAACAAACGCCAAAATAAGTCCAAAAAAATATTGGGAAAAAGGGCAGGAACTTGGCCTTCTCCAACAAGAAACCATTCATCATTGACGTTGGAACCTTTGAGCATATGAAATAGACTTTTTTTTTTTTTTTTTGCTATTATTATTTTTGTATTTCATTTGAAAGTCCATTATTTCTTCATATATATATATATATATCTTTTGTTTTCCCATAACCATCGTCAGCATGATCAATCACTTTTTCCTTCTATTGAGTATTCATGACTTTTTTCTGTAAGCAGAAATGTTTCTTTCTAGTTCTAAATTATTGTTTAAGAAAAGTAAAAAGAAAAAAAAATGTGTGTTTTATATTTTTTTACAATTCACCAATGCATTCACAGACAAACATAAACAAGAAATTTGCTTTTGATATTAAATCCCCATTCTGCAAATGAAAAGTTATAATTTATAATTAGTAAATACTTTATATGAAAAAACAATACTAACAAAAAGCAAGAAGAAATTACCAAATAAAGTCTTAAAAATATAATTTATTCAATTGGGGTTTGGGAATAGTCCAAACAGATATTGTGCTGTATGACGTTATCTGTGAATGAAGTTAATTTGGTTAACATAAAAAGTTTGCATGGCTTAATTTAAAAAGAAAAAAAAAAAGTTAATTTGATGTGAGATTAATCATTTTTTATTATTAATTTAGTCCATAATTTAGTTAGGGTCGGCAATATATATGTCTTAAGTCATCATCGATTCATTCATAGCTGAAGTGGATGTTTAGGGAGATGATGTTGATTTGTGGGTTAATATCCGAACATTGCTTTTCATTTTTATATGTTAAGAAAAATTCTCCCTTTCTCCGTTAAGGAAAGCTTGTCTTCTTTTTTTATGGATTCGAGTTCTAATTTATTGAGAGATTATTTTAAAAATGATTTTTTTAGATTTATTAAATTTAATATATTAAATTTATTTAAATTAATAAAAATATATATTAAATTTATTGGGATGATTCTGTTTCTAGCCCATTGGGATCGTACTACATTTAATATCATTTATTTTTTTAATTGTGCTTTTTTTTTTTTAAGGCAGCAAAAGAGGACAAAAGTATATCTAGTAATTAGGCAGGACGGGACGGGAGTAGGCAGCCCAAATACGGCAATGGCGGCCAGTTAATGCCAAACAGCAATGCTTCAGAGACACGGTGATTACCACTATTATCACGAAATTAACAGGACTAAAGATATATTCTAAAGTATAGATACTGCAGCACCAGCCACCAGTGGCCCAACAGGACAAAATCATACTGCAAAAGCCGCAAAGACAATTAATTACTACATAAGGACACCTCAAACGTCCACAAGCAATTTTACGTACCAAAATTCTTGGTGGGACCTCTCTCTTCCGGTGCATGTTAGTAGCGGTATCGGTAAGTCACGTCGGATTGGATTAAATTTATATTTGATATTAATAATTTATATATTTATTTAATTTTAATTTTAAATTCGTTTTAAATTAATAAATAAATTTTAAATTCATCATTAAATTTAATTTATATAATAACAAAATTTTAAAATATAATAAAATTAATTTTAATGAAATTATATTTAATTTATAATTACAAATATATAAAAATTAAAAAATTATATAAATGTAAAATCATATAAATTAATTTTTATAAAATATATATAATTTTTATTTTTGTTATATTTATGTGACTTACTTTATATATAATTTAGATATATAAATAATTTATATACATAAAATTGACCCTATTCAAGTTTTATATTTTTAAAAAAATTTGACTTAAAATTTAAAAAAATTTAAAATTTATATCTAAATTCTTTCAACAATTTTAATTTTTTATTCAAAATTTTTAAAAATTTAAACTAAAATTTAATCAAATAATCTAATCTTTAATCAGGTCTGATAGAGAGTAGACTGTATAGCTTTCATTCCTCACTTAGTTTCAGCATTTATTTCATGAAAGAATGGGAAAGGTTCCAAGATTCTATTGCGAGGAATAATTCCCCAGCTTTAAGGTTACTGAAAGCTAACGTACGGTGGCTTTTTTGTGCAGAGATCAGTTTAACAGAGGTTTCGCGTGCAACTAAGCTTTCCGCTCAACTAATTGGGAGGCTTTAGCAATTTCTACTACCTCCTCAATTGAAGATGCTTTCTGAAGCATGACTTTGTCAATGGAAAGGGTTGGCTTCTTAGTGGAGTTAGGCCAATTTTGATACATAAGATAAGAGATACAATATAATATAATAATAATGATTTTATATCATATTTAGTTTATATTTTTTAAAAAATAAGATTAAAAATTAATTATTCTTTTGAAATAAGATAATTTAATTTTTTTTAAATGAAAAAAATATTTTTAATTTATAAAATTAAATTTAAATGTCATATTATGTCTTTAAAAATTATAGTAATAATTTAAATTATATAAATTTTGAAAAAAAATTGATCAATAAATAAAACTATCATATCTAAATTATTAATATATTTTTAAAAATTATATTAATAATTTAAATTATATAAATTTAAAAAAAATTGATCAATAAATAAAACTATCATATCTTAATTGTACATATCAAATATAAAATAAAATGACATTATTTAATTTAATTTTATGTATAATATTATGACACTGAATTTTATCCAGATCTACTGGATTAATTTTTGTTTTCAAGTTTTGTTTATTAATATTAAAATTAAGTTAATATTATTTTAAAATATAATAATTAATAAAAACAAAAAAAAATAAGATTGGGGTGACAATGATGCCTTGCACGGCACCACTGGCCACCCACCCTACAGGCCATTCCACCCCACTAACCACCAACTCCCTTGTAGCCCTGACCATACCCATGGCACCACTGGCCACCCACCCTACAGGCCATTCCACCCCACTAACCACCAACTCCCTTGTAGCCCTGACTATACCCTGCAAACCTTGTTTACCCCTGAACCACCACTGTTAACACCCCATTCCATGCCAAAAGCTCCATGCCCTGTCAATCCCACATCTCTACAAAACCATACCCAACTAGCCACTACCGGAAGATCCCTTCATGGAGAAGAACTCCAAATACCAGTCGCCCAAGCCTTAGAACCTTTTTCCTAAACTCGTGCAAAAACACCTCTTAGACACACATTTGGATCCTCAAATCCTGCTTTCCCAGATCAAAGAACCCAGAAAGACAGACCCAATAAACCCCAGGTCAAACATCCAAAACAACTCAGCTCCCACATCTAAAAAATTCTCTCTCTCCCATGTTCAGAAACCCAAGTACCATGCCCAAAAATCTCAATCTTCATCGAAAAATCATATAGAAAAAAAACACACAAAATAAAAACAAACACAGTCATTCCCTCAGGGAGGAACTTCAACGCCAAAGCTAGTTGCAAAGAAAAAAGCGGATACATATAAGTTTCGATTTCATAAAAAAAAAAAGAGAGAAATAAAAACTTTCAACCCTAATCTATGTCGATCGGGGCTATTTCTAACGAAAGAAAGGTCAGATTAAAAGCTCAAGAGGATACAAGGAACCTTTTGGAACCTTTTAAGATTTTTCAGTCACCGACGATCGAAAATGACAGTCTACATAGCTGACAACCACCATCTGACCAGCTTAGAGAGAAAAGCTCTGAGAAAATGAGAGAGTTAGAAGGAGAAAAATGAGAAATTTTTTTTTGTTTTTATAGAAGACTGAAACTCAAAACGACGTCGTTTAGGGAAAGGCTTGAAACGACGTCGTTTTAACAAAGGAGGATCCACGCGTTGATCCGGATCTGACCAAGGATCCGTTTAACTCGACCCATAACCCACTTCTACGTTAGCTCAAAACTGGTCCAGTTGAACTGGTATCTAATGCCATTAAACCGGTTCGGATTGATCTGAGCCGATCATTGATCGATCCGGTTCAGGTAAAAAAAGTTTTTTTTTGAATTTTTTATATATATTTTTTGTTATTTTTAGTTTTTTTTTATATTTATGCATGATAAATTTTTAAATTTGTTAAAATATATGTTTGATTATTTTTATTGATAATAAAATGAAATAAAATAGGATGATAACTAAAAAAAATATTAAAAATGCTTAAATAATAATAATAATAATCTAAATAATAATAGAATATTTTTGTTTTTCCTGCCTAAATGTTGGAGGGAATAAAAAATATATAATTTTGCCTAGATGTTGGAGAATTATATAAAAAATTTTTAATAATAATAATAAATTGATTTTTTTAATAATAAATTTT